GACAAATGCGATAATATTTTTTAATAGTGCTAATAAACTCAAGACACCTTGCATGATCTATAATATCATCCTACTTGCAGATTCATTAGATTTTTTTAATTCATCAATACTTCGTCTATGTTTACCGACAACTGTTGTTAACGAAAAAAAAAAAAGAAAGGATTAATTTTACGATCAAAGTTGTAATAGCTAATATAGAAGTGACCGTTACTTAATGATTTTCTCATGAACTTTTTGAATACATAAGTTGTGCGAAAGTAGAATGACTTCCAAACTTTACGATTTCGATATCTCCTAGATGAAAGCATTTGAAGATTTTGAATCTATGATAACTTTTACTCTACTCACTGTGAATTAGAAAAGCCTTTTTTTTTTATTTTCAAGTCAGTAACATATATATATATATATTAAATGGCTCGATTAATATTTATAGGCTATGGTCTGGTGGACTTAAACTACCACATGAACATCAATTTGCTGAATTCATTGAAGGTTTAGGTACAGGACAATTAGTTGGTCGGCAAGTTCTTGCATCTCCATGTCATGGTGAAATTCAAGTTGGTCTACGTGATCAACATAGTTTAATTGAAGTTGAAATAGTACGAGCAAGAAATTTACTTCAAAAAGCTTTATATAAATTGCCACCGGGTATATGATTTTTTCTTTTTTGTTGTTTTCATTATTGAATTTTTCAATAATGTTTGTTCTTGTTTTTTTCTTTTTCTATGTATATAATAGCTCCTTATGTAAAAGTTTATTTACTTGATGGAAAAACTTGTGTTGAAAAACAACGTACACGAACAACTCGTCGTACACTTGATCCATTAATACAACAAACACTTATATTTAAAGAAAGTTATCGAGAAAAAGTTTTACAGGTAAATAAAAATAAAAACAAATTTTGAATTCGAAATTTAAATATTTAATTTATTAAATAGATAAGTGTTTGGGGTGATTATGGAAAATTAGATAGAAAAGTATTTATGGGTGTATGTCAAATAAATTTAGAAGAACTTCATTTAAATTCTTCCGCTCAAGTACTTGATTGGTATAAATTATTTTCTGCTAATTCATTAATGAATAATTATACGATTGTACAACAATCACCAAAAGGAAAATCTTCTATGACAACAACAGATTCATATAGTTCATTTAAAAATAATTCCAGGTATATGACGAAAAAAATTTATTTGAATACGACTTTTGTTTTTTGTTTTTTTTCTAAATTATTTTATTTCAGATCTTGATTTTTTTTTCTTTTTTCATGACTCCACTTGGCGGCTTGTCGAGATTACAGTCTCTATATGTATGTATGTATGTATGTGTGTTTTTTCTTTCTTTTCTCTTTCGATATGATTGGTGTGTATGCATGTAAGACAAAAAAAATATTTTTAGTTACAATTTATTTATGGATTATGCTTGTTTTCTTTCCCTTTTTTTTTCTTCTTTTCTTTTTTTTTTTGTACGCTCTCTGTTTTTTTTTCGGCCAGATGAGAAAATAAATAAATGTGTATTTAATGATTTTCAAAATTTTATTTACATTTTCTTAATCAATTATGAGACACATAGGACATATGTGTAAGAGTAAGATTGACAGACTCGATAAGATGTGATATAATGTCGAAAGAAGGGAAAAAATATCAAAATAACAGTTACACAAACTTAATATGTCTGTTACACTGATAACCTTATCTACTTATTTGATAGATTGACATTAAACTTTGTCTCATGTAGAAAATGATTCCAATCGAAATATACTTTTTTTTTTTTCGATCAATATTTGGATTTATGATTTATTGTAGTTAAATAAAGACTAGTAAATATTATTTCTAAGAAACTAAAAGATCTCATTCGATCAAAATTAATTAATTTTATATAAATTTCAAAGCCTTAAAATCGGCTACATATTCTTGTATTTATATAAATCTCTTTTCTTTTTGTTTATTGTAAATAATAAATTTCCGTATACAATGCAAATTCTGCTTATTTCTCGATCATAATGGCAACAAAAAAGAAAAACAATGTTTCTCATTTATTATTCTCACATATTTAGTTTGCATTACATGTTGATGTCCTAATCAGTCATTATAAATGCATAAATGTCTATCGTTTTTGTTTTTTTAAAGATATTGATTTATCACTATTGAAAATACTATCAAATCATAAATCTTCCAGTCTAAAAGAAAACAAAAAACATCTAACTCATCTTTATTAATATTAAGAACATAATAAATATTAATACTGTAAAGGCATCATAATAAACAGGGCGTGCCTTGCTATTATGGAAATTCATATTGACTTTATCAAGATGCCTTTCTATTGACAGTTACTTTTTTTATCTCAAATTTTGCCTAGAGGTCGAGGATTTTTTTCTAAACAAATCTTCATACTAAATCAAGGATTTCTATTAGTAATTTGATACGAAACTCTTTTTTGTTTGTTATTTGAAAAACTCCTGGTTTGTTTTTTTTTTTAAATCTAATTAAACAATAAACAAAAAGCCTATTCTTAGTTTGACGATCTTGAAAAGAATACACATTGCCTTTTACTATGCTATTTGAAACTTTTTTATTTTTTTTTGTGTTTTCAGGAATAACTATCTACTCCCGCGGGGATGAAAGGAACTATGTAAAACATTTTTCCCAACTAATCATTATGTCAAGTCGAATAAATACAACTAACTATGAGACAATATATCATTTCCTCTCAATGATTTTTTACAATGTTTTGTTATCACCTGAACAAACAAAAAAGAAGATGACTGGATTGAAAAAGAAAGACAAAAGAAACCTGTACATCTTGCTTTATAAGTATTGCCTTCGATAGACGGCTAGTTGAATCTTTTCTTATCTTAGAAATGAATAGACCATAAAGAATATTATATATTTATATATCATGATTAGATATCAGAACTATTAACTGATTGCTTAATTACATGAAATTATGAACATTAGATCTCTTTGGAATTTCATTATCTGATATTAAGAGTGTATCATCGATCATTTCTTCTTGGATACTCAATTAAATTGATTTATTTTAATTCGATAATGTTATGAATAGAGAATCATCATGAAAGTTGTTGCTTTCTCACTTTACAAGGTTGACTAATCTTCTCTCGATTTTCCTACAATATATATAGATATATAACAATCTTTTAAAAAGAGAATTCGATGAATATCGAAAATGAATGGCATGAAAATAAAAACACTTTGATGAAAGAGTACATACTTTTATGTAAGGTTTCGTTTTTTTTTTTTTTTTTACAAACAGTTGTATCATCTTAATTCATATTCAATGATCAAAACATATTTTCTTGTTAATCAGGAAACATAAATTCAATTATCATCGATCATTTTTTTTTTTTCGCATATGAATCTTTATTTATAAAGACAGATAGAGAGAATTATGAAGCGAAATATAATATTGGATATTATTTTGTCTTTCTATTGTTATCTAATAATTCATCATAGAAAATTTTATTTTTTAATATTTTCATATGCTCTGGGTTTTTTTTCTTATAAGAAATTGACTCTTCATCTGTCAAATCGATGCTGAATGACAGTTATCCCTCAACTTAACCTTGTACATATGCTCTGTCTCTTTTTCTCTCATTGACGCTTCTTGACTACTCATCATCAACACGTATATGAGACAGAATGGGTTCGTCAACAAATAATATTCTATGAGTTGATAGCTACATCATCGTCCTTTGAGGATTCATTATATTAGATAGATCGACAAGCCAACAGACATTCAGAGGAAAAAGGCGTCGTCACTTGTAGAATCATATAGCTTGCGACAACGGCCATCAGTTAATATTATTTCCACTCATTAGTTTTTGTTTTATCAATTACCTGTTCCCATTTTCCGACATTATGCATATATAAATAGAAATAGTCATCAGGCAGTAATTAGAGAGCAAAAAATTATTAGAAAGTTTTTTCGTTTGCTCTAATGCATATACATATAAACAAATCAATTCATTGACATTGGATAGAATTTATTCCAAGATCATGACATTGATAGACGAGCATACGCCAACATCAAATTTATTTTAGTATGTCTACTAAATTATATACTTCATTTTCTCGTAATCACTACGTTTCACTTGAGTATTTCATACGTTAAGAAAGTCGATAGTATATACTTATTTCGGTGTGTACAATTTTATAGGACAATAATGTTGCATAGATGATTATACGCGCTACGTCTTATTGAATGTATGTCTACGCGCTAATTTTTCCTTCCGTTTCTTCATCTTCATTCGCATAGGACAACAAATAAAATAGCATTAACTCCCTCTGCCTCACCATCCATCCTACTCCCTCAAAAAAAAAAGAAGAAAAGAAGATGGAATAGAGGAAAATATAGGAACGATAGCCATCTCCAAATGCGTTATCGAAAACACAAACAAAACAAAAAAATGGTAATTTGTCAATCAATATCCCAGAGATATTGATCTATTTTATCAATGTAAAATAAGAGAAAGATAAAAGCTAATAAATCCCATTGCTATGTAAAACCCGCCTCATTGTAACACATGTGCATACAAAACGATACATTTGTTTAAGAGCGATGGTTCACTACTCAATTCTGACTCTTCAATAGACCTTAATTTATTTTCTTTCTCGGTTTTTTTCTTCTTCTTCGTATTCAAATAGATGATGGATGTCGATCGCGTGGTAGCATTCTTTTGCTCAATGCCAGATGATATTTGATCAAAAATAAATTAAACATGAGCTTTCAGCTCTACATCGATTGTCGTCGCCATAAGGTAAAGGCAGGCGAGGAACAATTATAACTTTTCTCTTTCTCTCTCTCTCTCTCGCTCTTTCTTCTGTTGTTCTCGTCTCCGATCGTTCGTTCGATCTACTGTCGTTCTTTTAAGTAAACGGATCGATCTCCTGTGACCAACATTCATCAAAAATGGTAGTGGGAAACAAACTATTTCTTTTTTCAATGTTTCTTCTTTATATCATTGAACATATTCATATAAAAATATGATAATTCTATCGTCAACAACAACAGCAACTATTATGACAATGTCGAATAATTCTACTTCATTGTCGATATCAACTATTGAACAACTATCTTCATCATCGTATTATACAAGTATGATAAAACGTCTTTTAATTGTATTTGGTTCGATATCATTTCTTTGGTTAATTATGGGACTTGTATTTGCATCTATTCAAACATTTCGTCATTTAAAAAGAAAGACACATCAAAAATTATTTCTTTATCATCGGGCATTACCACCACCAGCGCAATCACAAATACCACCAGCACCATCGTCAGCATTATTAACATCCATAGGACAAACATTCAAAGAAGATAATATCTCTGATAATGATGTTGATGATGACGATGATGACGATGATGATCAAGCAAGTGTTTTTACGTCTCTATCATTTATTTCTGAACAATCAAAAAGTACACATGAACATGCACATACTGTTGCATTATGTGAACGAATACCTGAAGAAGAATTTGAATTAACATTAACGACGCCTGTCGGCATTTCTAATATGGCTTATAGTCCATCAACATTAGCTTCATCAAGTAGTGGCGACTCATCTCTTTTACATTATCCAGCCTGTCGAAATTTTGCTTATTCCCAATCGACTCTTGCATCATCTACTGCTGATTTGAATACTGCAACACCATCGGTTATTATTCCTATCAATGAATCATCTTCAACAAAGTCATTGTCAAACCGTTTTGTTAATTTAAAACGACAGGCATCTCAATCGTCAACAACTACAACATTTAGTCAGATCACTAATGCTACATATTTGTCATCAAGTAGTACATCGACATCGTCAAGTATTCCAATAACATCAATAAAAACAATGCCATTGCCTACAGTAATGATTACTGATTGTGATCGTTTACAAACTGATATTATTGAACTTGATGATTTTGAACCGGAAAAAGATTGGCGTCGTGCACGTCCTGAATTAAGGTTATTACTCAATGATCGAATGCCACAGGCAGTGAGATAATTATTAAAATTGCGTCTAATTTGAAATGTGTATTTGTTAATTTTTTTTTTTTCTGTTCATCTTGAAAATATTCCGATAAGAGAATGAAATAAGAAAAAAAAAGATCATTTTGATAATTAAATTATTTATTTTTATAGAATATTATAAAACAAACAACATAAATGAAATTATAACAAGGCATAAATGAATAGATAATGAAACAAAATAGAATTAGAAATATATTGTTTGATTAATGTAAATAATGATATTTTCGATTGTTTTTGATCAATTTCATTGTTCATTTGACGAAGATGTTGATCAATTTCATCACTAATTTCACGAAGACGTTGACCAATTTGTTGAACAATTACTTTTCTTTCATCCATTTGTCGTCTTTCACAATTGAATAGACACAAAACATATATAAGAAAACATTTGATTTATATTATACAGAAAAAAAAGAAAGAAAAGAACTCAAAGAGAGAGAAAGATTATGCTAAGTTCTAGAAAGGTGATAAATACACATACACTTTCACCGGAAGTCTATGATCATATTTGTTGTATATAGATATGAACGTGTACTATATACGCAAGAATCACACCATAGCACAATTCATTTAAATAAACGATGCAAAAAATGGAGTAAACAGATTAAACATCACACACGTGTAAGGCACGTTCCTATCAAAGCCAAGATCAAAGATAAAAGATGATAAGTAAAAAAAAAAAAAAGTCATATTCAAGAACAATATGTTATTATTCAGAGTTATTTAATAGAAGAACGTTCATAAAATAAATCGATAATAGGATGTATTGATTATCTATTTGATGCTGATATTTAGTTGAATAATCAATCATGCTTAATTATTATGATGAGATAAGAATCGATACATATGATTAATGATCATAAATTATAAGAAAGGAACAACACAAGATCATTCGTTTAATAATATGAAAAGAGTGACAGGTAATATATAATGGGAACAATGCTATTTGAAATTCATTCAAAGTAAGATAAGATCTTTAGAGGAAAGCTCGATCAATTCATATACTAAATTTCATATTAATGATATTTGAAAAAACAGTTTGTTTTGATTTCTATGATTTAATAAACTTGAAGGTAATCACATTTATAGATTTTTCTGTTAAAACAATTATTTATAATCATATGCAGAAAAAATTGAGCTTCTGCTTATGTTAATAATAATTGCAGAGTTTTCTCGATTTTATAGTCATTAATATCACAAATATTGTTGGTTTTTTCATTATGTCTAAAATTGATTTCCATATAGATGAGAATTAGTAACTATTGTTTATTAGGAATGATCTAACATATAAATGAATACTTGACAATATTAAAAAAAATGGATTTTCTTTTAGATAGTATCAAGTTTTACAATGATTTGAAATCGAAAGAAAAAAATACTAGATTACTATTTCGTAATTATTATGGTGAGACAATTTTCTTTTCAATAAAATTATTTTCATATGATCATTGCTTGATTAAACCTTATGAACTAATAAATAAATAGAAGTTTTACTCGAATAATTGAACGATATATCAAGTAAATAGAAGATTGAATATAAGAGGAATTATTATTTTAAAAACCGAAATTCTTCATTAGTATGACTTATATAATCATGATACGATTCAAGGTTTAAATCTTAGCACCACCATATACAGCGGCTTCCAAAATGATCTCACCAGATTTATTTTCTATTTTTTTTTCTTCACTACCGTAAACGCTAAAAAGATTCCCACGAATAATTTTCGTAGAAAAGTTTTGCAGATTTTATCACGAATAATATATCTGAAAAACCAAATATTTGAGCTCCTGGAAGTTGCCGATTGAATTCTGTTTCGTAGAACAAATAAAGCTCTCTAGGACATTTTTTGATCGAGATACATCAATCTTATAGAAAGCACAAAAGAAAATACTGTTTCCATACGGAAGAAAATGACTTTTATGTCTTCCGTAAGATTGATATATCTCCTTCAAAAACATATCGTAGAAAATTGCACAATATTTTATTTTATAGAGAGCTCTTTGCTCTATCATTCTGAATGATTCAAACAGAATTCTATTAGCAAATTCAACGAGCCGCAAAACTTAGTTTATACGGAACTCTTTTCTTAGTAAACTAGTAATTCTTTTCACCTTCAAAAGTTTTGAACTCAATCCAATCTTTGCATTTTTATTAGTATTTACTGCAGCGGAGAAAACAAAAATAGAAAATAAATCAGGTCGAAACATGCTGGGGGCTACTATATATGCACAATACTTCACAACCATCATAAAAAGTAAATGAGTACCATGGCAATCACAAATAAATTCTTGATGTTGTTCAATTGAGAAATATATATGTGTGCCAGTATATTGTGCCATTTATATCTCAATTGAACTTTATTTTTGATTACTATACAGTTGTCAGGGTAACATTTTCTCTTATTTCAATCGAGAGAGTAAAAAATAAGAAAAAAAAAATCAATAAACAGAAGCGTGTGTCATATAATTAAGTTTTTAAGCATATCTGTGTCTATGACAAAGTTATAGAAGAAAAAGAAAAGAGAACCGAGAGGAAACGAAACGTTATAGCGTTTGTTCAACTTCAAAATAAAAAAAATTTTCTATTCTTTTCTTTTCTGTTTCCACACCTTGTTGCAACGCAACAAATCTACAAAAATAAGCCTTTGTATATGTACAATAAACTGGTGAGTATACATATTATATTTTGATATTTAATATTTTCAATTTTCACACTTTAAAAATGAGATTTTTTTTTGAATGAAAAGAAAAGAAAGTCGAGATAGATAAGTAAATTTCTCTTGTTTTTTTTCAAAAGATAAATTGCACGATTGTCAAACGATCGTTAAAATATAAAAAGGTAAATTGAATTGGTAAATCAATTCTTTTGTTATTTTTCTCAAACGACGAAATAGTGCTTAAAATCATAGAATGTTTCCTATATTCTCTTTAATTTTTAAATACTCATAATTAACTCATATTTAAACGGAACTTTAAACGATAAATTATTTCCTCGATTACAAAAAATAGTAAAAACAATTTTTTTTGTTTTCTTTCACTTTAGATTTCTATATTCTCATGACAACGAACGCCAGTTATTCAGATGCACGAGGAGATTTTCGTTGTGGTTTATGTCGACAAAAAGGTGCCTTTCATTGTGAACATGATACACCATATCGTGATATATATTTGGGTACATTTGATCCAAATTTGTTAAGAAATATTTCTATCAATGCTGAAAAACCTAAGAATGGAACTCGAATGCATAATAATTTAACAAGTAATAGTATGCATTCAAATGCCGGTGCTCAATATCAACAAGGCAAACGATTAAACAACACATCACCACCTAATAAAAATACCATGAAACAAACAGAACAAGATAAAAAATCAAAATCATGTACTATTCTATAGAAATTTATTTATTTATTTATTTATTTATTTTTCGCACTGTGTTATTTGATATACTGTTATATTTCGTCAAAAAGAAAAAGTTTTCTTTTTTTTTTTTCTCATTAAAATTTATTTATGACGTTTTATTGTCGAAAAAACACAATAATAGCAATAGAATTTCCATTGACACTACACATTAGAGTTGTTTGATTAATAGAAAAATTTGCAATAGCTTCGACTAATATGAATTTAAAAAAAAAAAAAAAGAATCAAACATTTCTCTCAAAGAATTTTAGTCTAGTAAAAGGAATGCTTATCGTATTATGAACATATATACATATAATTTATTCTATTGACGTCAAAATACATATTTATTCATGAATATTAAAAGAGAATATTTAAGCAGTTAAAGAAATCAAACAAATAAGTAGAGGTTTTCATCAAATAGAGTTAATAATTTGTCTAATTTTATTCATAGATTTTTGAACTTCAATTTTTAAAAACTCAATCAAGTGCTTGAATTTTTTTTTTGTCTGTATTACTATAATTGACAGTGATACACGAAAAAATTATTGTACTAGTATTTATCATGATAATATATATGACATAAACTAATTGTATTTTTTGAAAAGTAATTACAAGGAACAAAAAACGACTCGTTAGAAATACAAATTAAATTATCCTTACATGTAAAAATCTTTCAACAATAAATAGATTTATCATCAGTCTTCGAAGAATAGGCAAGGACACACGTATAATAATTAGTAAAGATAAGATAACGAAAAAAAAAAAATATATTTTTTTTCTAATAAATCATATTCAATAAAGAAAGTTTATATATACAAATCTGATAATCAGATGAAATAAAATTCAATTGTTTGACGATCGATTATATTTGAAGGAAAGTATTATCGTCATTTCTTTTTCTCTCTGTGAAAGTTGCCTGGTTCATGATTGATATGTGACCTTCGCTTATATCTCAACATGTTTAACAACAATATATGATGATTTTCAGCTGTTGTCATAACGATTCTTTTGTATAATTCACAATTTCTCCTTTTAATTCTTTTCTAAAAAAAAGAAAAGAAGTAAAAATTATTTATGTTCAAAGTGAACATTTTTATTCAATAATTTCTGTTAATAAGAAAAGGATTTACTACTTAATTACTATATACAAATATATATGGGTCGAGTTTTACAACAGAATAATTGTGTAGATTAAATTACTACATATGTCTGACGTGCTTTTGTCTTTCATTTTAACAACAGTCCCTTTAGTTACTTCATTAACAAAAAAAAAAAAAAGGAATTTGAGAACTTTGTCTTAAAGATATTGATTGTTCACTTTGTTTTATTCAAAAAAAAAATTAGTATTTGTGATGATTCTTAGGTACATTCAATGTTCTCTTTATTGAAAACAACATATTCAAATTTAATCGATTATATTATAAATAAAATTGCGTTTTAGAGATATTTGATGAATTCATTTGTTTTCTTCTTCAAGTACATATACATATTGAATAGTTTAAAAATATCATTTACATATTAGATAAAAGAAAAATTTCAGTCAAATTTAATAGTCTATTTGTTTTTTGATGATAAATTGGCCATTATAGTTTTTTTTTTATGAGGCATACTTGTTTTCAAATATCGATACATCATCGTCCATCATCTAGTAAGAAAAATTTTCATTCTCTTTTCGCCATTATCTACATAACTCAAAACTTGTCAATACAAAAAAATAAAAAGGTTGGCTAATGACATGTAGATCTTTGTATGTACTATTTAGTGTTGTTTATCGAATAATATGATGGCGATGATAGTCAACATGTATGAATGTGTATATGGATAAAACAATGATGGACAATGGTTTAGCGGTTCTAACGGCGTTCAATAATAAACGATAGAAAAAAAAAGCAAGAAAGAAAGGAAGATGGTTATTGGGGGCTTTCTTTCTCATTCTCATCAAAATAATTAACTATGGCCGTAGACGACGACCTATATTTATGCACATATGTATATCGCGTGTTCTCTCATCTCTTTGTCTTGCATTATTGGATATTGTTGAACGGCGAAAAGAAGGAGAATAACTATAAGAAATGAGAAGAGAAGAAGAAGAGACAAAGCGTATGTATATACAAAACTCCGCGAATGAACGTATTTATTTGACCATTACTCGAAAGAGACATAAAGTGAGAGAGAGAGAGAGAGAGAATCTTTCTCTTCTTTTTTTTCTCATTTGTCCAAGAATAAGTAAGATATAGAAGTTCAGAAGCCCCACTAACTTTTTACCTTGATTCTAGAAAACATTATCATTATAGTTAGATAGAAAAAAAAAAAATAATACAGTCAAATCGTCTTTTTCTCTTCTCTCGTGACTTATCATAATTTTCTTACTGGACATAATGTAGGTTTTGTACCGTTTTTTCTTTTCTTTTAAGTATCCCCCAATAGGCATGTCACATATTTGTTGATTCCGTTTCGATTACGTAAAGTTTGTCGTTCGTCGTTATAGAGTCAAATTTACCTTTGTTATAAAAAAAAAAAAAAAAAAAAAAAGAATCTTGAACAATTAGTAGAACATAACAAAAAATTGTTCACTCTTTCTTATTTGAAGTCACATTCATTTTATTGACTCATTTATTTGCTTTTTTTTTTTTTTATATAGTTGTTGTTTTATTTTAGACAGATAGACAATGTTTATATGGTATATCCTATTATTGATTATTTGTTATGTTCATTCAATTGAATTTAATCCAAATGAAATTAATAATAAAGATGAAAATACTCAATTTGTTATTTATCCATCTTTATATCTATGTAATAATGGTTCATTTTCATTTGAATTTCGTACAAAAACAAAAAATGGTTTAATTTTTTATACATATGATAATTATTATTATGATTCAATTATTGTATCAATATATAATGGAAAATTATTAGTTGAAGAAAAATTTGGAAAAAATAAATCCTATCAAAAATTTGATCAAACAATAAATGATAATAAATGGTATAAAATTGTATTTAAAAGACGTTCATCATTAATAACTGAAATTATACTTTATACAGTTGCTTTACGTAATGTTGAAAATCGTATAATAAAAACAAAAATATTAAATTATTCACCATTTACAACAATAAATACAAGTTCATTAGTTTATATTGGTGGTTTACCATTGAATATATATAAAAAAGAACGTTATTCAAGTGAATTTTTATTTTCATCTTATCAAGGTTATATACGTAATCTTCGTTATGGTTTATGTGGATGTCCTGAACGTATTCAATATCCAATTTTTTCATCATTATTAAATAATTATCAATCTGAAGTGTGTGAACAACAAATATCATTATGTTCAAGTTCATCATGTGAATGTTTAAATGTCGATGAAGAACCACGATATCAATGTGATTGTAGCAATAAAACATGTAGTATTTTAACTATGATGAGTAAGTCATTATGTTGTAAAAGAAAACATATTAACAATGCTTATCTAATCTTATAAATATGAATAGTAACCTTAAAGGCATGAGCTGTCTCATCACGCTTATCTTCTTCTTCTTCTTCTTCTTCTTCTTTTTTCATATTAATGATGAATATTATTTGGTTGGAATCCGACGATAATCTTTTCAATATATTTCATTCTATTTACGCAATGCATTACGTTCCGTTTTTCCGCTTATATGTATATATATACATATACAGGCAGGCAACACAATATAGAACAATGCATGCGATCAACCATATGGAAGATGCTATGGGCATCTCTCCTAATGAAACACTGCTCGTTCGGTCAGTCAGTCAGTCAGTCAGTCAGTTCGATGTGTTTACATTATGTCTGCCCGATTAAACGCCAAACACATATACACATACGCTGATCATCTAACTGACCTGTTGTTGTTGTCTACTTATATACGTATACTAAAAGTAATGTTGCTCATGCTTCTTTGTAATGCATGATGTAATTTATGATTGATAATCATCATTATCAAGACTAGTAGTACTAATCTTTGATCACAAGCGTTAATTGTTTTGATATGCTAGTCTCACACATGTCATTCTACAAACAGTTGAACTTGTTCGCGTGTATATATTCGTCAACATAAAGAAAAGATAATGAGAATGATCGCCTGTCAATAAATGATGAAACACACACACACACATATATATATATATATATATACATATACACACCTACATTGTCAAGTTTTTTTTTTTTCTTTCATTGCACAGTCTATGATTAAAGTGTTCACATTTTCTATATAAACGTACAATCGATGAAGATTTGCCCGAGACAAAAAAAATAATGAACACTTTGTGTATATGTGTGTGTGTGTGAACATAGAACAGATTGACTCTCGAGTGTGTCGTCTTCTTTCACTCAAGTTGCGGTAGAGTAACAAAGCTAAACTGTTTTCACTCACTTCACATAGAAGATCGAAAGATGAAGGTGAAGTGAGCAGTGTATGCTTTTGAATTAAACGATCAAGTAAATAATGAAAGGGGTCATGGTCCTGTCTTTGTCTAGATGTCATATACATAGGAAAAGAAGCTTAAGAACGATTGAAAGAAAACTTAGAGTGAATACGTACGTACATGCTTGTTGTCGTCCTCACTCAATTAATCACAACGTTCGATATACCATACATATATGTTTAGTTGATAATAACCAATATAAAATGCTTGGAATTGACATGAACAGCTGACGACGACTTCTTTAGCTTTATTTCCTGTATGTCATTAAGACCGTCTGTATACAAGCTTATGCGCTAATCGCTTATATAATAATATCAAAGAAATAAAATAAATGTTCAATATCTGTCAATATTCACACACACATAGAAAAAGAAAAAAATTTGAATTTTAATCTCATATATAAATAGTAGAACAAAAAATATTTATATTAGATTTTCTTTTCATATTTAAAAATCGAAATAAATGAAATTTTTATTTGTCTGAATTTTATTTATGTAACATACAATTCTATTCTTAAAATATGTTTTATAATCTATGTACCTTGTAAAATGATAAAAAAGAAAAACTTGGAAATGTTTATATACTTAATGTTTTTTGAACAACGGAACTAACCATTAACATTCTTTTGAAACAGACGATAGTCATTCATAATGCTATAATTAAACATTGATTATCTACGTTTTTTTTCTTTTGATTTAATATAAAGACATAAGAAGAAAAAAAAAATCCAACTAAAATTAGTCATAAATCTTATTGTATTCTTTGTCTTTTATGTAAGTTATAAAAGATAACTCAAGGGTAAATAAACAATTATACATATTAACAAAGAAAAAAAATCCTAATCATCTATTTAACAAATGGTATTTATTATTATTATTATTATTACGTGTTGAAAAGAAATAATAAATAAAAGAACAAAACAAAATTCTCTAAAGCAAAATATTGTGGATCAATTTATCTTCATTAATTATTTTTTTTTTTATTTAGATAACAATCTTATTGAATATAAAATTGATTTTACATCTGCTGACTACATATCAAAAAATGATGCATCGACATTTACATATGGTGCACATCCAAATATTTTTAATGTTATGAAAAAAAGTTTGTATAAAAGTTACTGTAGTTTTGTTTTGTTTTGTTTATTAAGAAAAATCTAATTTATAATTAAGATATTAAAACAAATTCTAATGAAAATAGTCTTACGATATTTTCACCTATTCATAATCAAGAAGATAATTGTATGTGGGATTTAAATACATGTTCAATAGGTAATCATATACAAAAAAAAAGAAAAGATTTTTGTTTTTCTTCAAGAAATTTTTCTTTTTCTAGAATTAATTTTAACATTTATTTTTTCAATTGAACATTTTAATAGTTCACAATCTATTTTTGCACAATATTTGAAAAATGATGCATCAATTCATATAAATTTTATTGTTTTAAATTCATCATCAACTAATTTACATTTTGACCTTTGGTTACCATTTAATCATGGTATTTTACGTACACAACTTACTGAATTTCCTTATCAAACGCCATTATTTATTAACCTTGTTTATCGTTCACCATTATCATTATCCGTTTTTCTTTTCGGTCAACTTATGGATTATACAACAAGTTCGATTTATATTCAATCCAATAAACCATCTTCATCATCTTCTTTATCTTTTAATACATATGTTGAATTTCGTTCTATATCTTGGTCTTATCAAAAGCAATCATTTGGTAGGTATCCAATAGTGGGGATTTTAGTTTTTCTTTTTCTGATAGAAAATTTCATTTTATATCACTATTAGAATGTTGTGCATTTATGCACGATGATGAGCGTTTAAAACGAGATACAACAAATCTCGATTTATGTCAATGTAAGTCAAAAAAAAAAAAAAAAGAATAGTATTGTCTAACTAATCTTTAGTATCACTCTTCTCTAGTTATTATTTGTATGGAAGAAAAAAAAAACACAATAATATGCAAATTTGTGAATTCATAAGTGTAGTGTTTTTTTTTAACATTTATTACATACAAGTTGATCGATAAATGTTTAAATTATGATGAATGTTTAATAAGAATATTAAAAAAAAATGGGATTTTAATTGTGACTGCTTGACAGACATTTGCATGTATATATATTGCGTGTTCGGAACAATAAATCTTAATCTATGAACGATGAAAGATGATCAAACATGAAATGATTAAAGATAGGATAAGACAGTTTTAGAATCTTTGTATTCTTACATCATTGATATGCCGTAATTTTGAAGAAGAAAATCATATTAAGATACTTTCAATAAATAATATTGTTAGTATTCTTGGTCCATCATTATTTTTTTCTACAACATGCAATCACAACTATTTTTTAGCTAACTGTCTGGAATATATTTTCTCTGGTCACATGAGATTATATTGGAAAGTGGAGAGAAAGAAAAAAAAAATGACTGTATCTAATGAGACATAAATTATACGATTAAACGATTGAAGCAATCCTTTACTATCATCAATCGTAGTCGAAACATTTATTTGTCAGGTGCATTTAGTACTCTTTCGCTTTTCTTTTTTCATCTTTATCAATTTGCTTTCTCATTTTTTTTTTGTTTCACATGACAGTTTATTCTTGTACCATTGGGATTTTTTTTTTCTTCTTCTTCTCACTTTTTCGTTTTACATTTATGAGTGTTCTTATATAATACATAGTATGCATGTAGTTTTGATGTCTCTTTTGTTTGTGTCACTGAGAAAATTGAGAATTTACTTGTAATTTGATGCACCTTGTCGGTCTTCTTTTAACAAAAGAAAATTAGTTTTTGCTCATTTCGAAACATAAATTTAAACTTATAATATGATTCAATTTTAATATAAAACAATATTTATCTCAATCATGCGACATATGCATTTATACTCTGAACCGATCTGATACATATATATATGCATTTATACATATACAATTTAATTGTGCACAAGTGCGCGCGACATCGAGAAAGGTTAGAGCGCGTGAGAGAGAGATTAGGGTCAATGCAAACAGAGGTGTTGATACTCTATATACGTCCTCACGAAACACTAGTGTTACAGTGGAACCATTTTCTTTCTTTGCTCTGTCTCTCTACTCCCCCCCCTTCCCTCTTCCTTTCTTGTCTCGATCGAATAGACAATTCAATGAAGAAGAAATCATGCATCAGCCGGCGACGACTAATTTCACTCTTGATGCTCACGCTCTTTTACTCATACAAAATACATACATATATATATATATATATATGTATACACTCAGTGTGTCGCCGAGAGATGAAGAAGACAGACACGAACCGATTTTATACTGCTGACCACTACGACTACTACTATTGTTCTTTCTCCCTCAACAACCCCGATACAATTTTATTTTTTCGCTTCGACTCAGAAGAAGAAAATTTTTCTCTTCTCCTTTCTCGTACTCATTTCTTTACTCGTCACTCACAGTTCATTCTTATTCTCTTCTTCCATCCTCATCATCTGCTCTCATCCACCATCGACATATACATCGTACAACATAGAAAAGATGGTGAACTGTGTGTATAACTTACACTAGTCTATATAAAAACGCGAGAAATCTTTCTTCTCCTTTTCTTTCTTCTTCTTCTTCTTCTTGTTTCTCCCTCACTCTGTGTCTTTCTCTTTTTTGCGTTTTGATGATGGCCATCGACCACCCTACACAACGATAATGAGAGAACGAGAGAGACAGAGATAAAACATTTGTATATTTTTCTTTTCTCTCAACATAGATGCGCTCTCTCACACATCATTCATGTGTACAATGTTAAATTCTTTGAATAATCAATGTATAGACTAATCATGAAAACCATCATTAAACATTTCTAATCAAAATCTATGTCGTACAAAATCCACTATTCATTTATTCTTATATTATTTTTCCTTCCATTATATTTATGTCAACAACAACATTTAAAATTATTGAATGATGATAATATAAATAATACATCATCATTCAATGAAACTTTTACTATCGGTAAGCTCTTGAATTCAAGATATAAAAGAATTTGAAATAATGATGATACATTTTCATCTTCGCACATGCGCTTAGACAAAAGAAGAAAAAAAAACATGTTCAACTAACATATTGAATATTGATATTATTATTATTATTGTTATTATTATTTTGCACTTTTTCAATAATAGAGTTGAAAATTAATCAGACGAATGACTAACACGATTGCTTCTGTCATCATTATAAACTATCCTAATTTATATTTTATTCATAACATATTTCTTTGTGTATAGGCGGTGCTCTTACAGAAGCATCATTAAATAACAATCGTTTGATACCTAAAACGATTAGTGAATATCCATCACCCGTCAATGTTCGAACAAAATATACAACTGATGAAGAAGATTATACATTATCAGAATCAATATCATTTTCTATTCTTACAAATCAACAAATATCACAAGCAACAACTATTCTTGCTGGATTTGCATATGATAATATTTATTATGTATTTGATATTGAGGTTTGATTTGATTAAATAAGAATAAAATGATTGATGAAATATTTTTTTTTTTTTTCTAAAAGGATGGTAAACCAAAAATAATTTTTTCACAAGATGATCTTCCTGATATTATTTTAACAATAAAACCTAGTAATCAAATAATAATTAATGATGGTAAATGGCATAAATTAAATATTCAACGATTAGATAGAAAGGTGATTTTAATTCTTTGTGTTTTGTTTTTAATAGAAAATAAAAAAATTTTATGTTTTGTATAGTTACGTTTTGATCTTGATAATATTGAACAATCTGATGTACAATTACCTGATGGATGGCAAGCAAAAACAAATATATTTATTGGTGCAGAATTAACACCTGTACCTAATGGAGATTTTAATGGAAAAATTGGCGATGTAAGTTTAATCAATGAGGACATATATATATATATATAGGATACCTTAAAACTTCTTCATATTCATTTTATATTACATATAAAAGAACAACAAATGTTTGTTTAAAATTATTACATTAATATAACACTAAAGTTTGAGATTGAGAATTTCAATCATATGATTTTTTTTTTTTGTCTTTTTCTTTTCTTTTAACATTTCCCTGTTGATCATTTATAATTAAAACATATATTAAATTATCGATATTTGTAATCTAACCACATTGATAATCTATCTCACATCGGTCGGCATAGAAAAGAAAAGGCCTCTACATTTTTTCCATTTCTTTTTTTTAATATTGTAATATGATCATATTCTCAGCTTCGCAATGCCCGAGGTTAAACATCGGTTAGTTTTCTTGAGCAACTCTATTAACAAAAAAATATGTGAACATACGAAGATAAACACACATACACACATATTCTTTGTTTAGAATTTCGATGAACTTAAAAATTGGATTTCATATAGGACTTCATTCATTAACAAGCTTTTTTTTTTTTTTTGGGTGTATGCATGTTTATCTAAATGAAGCTCGGAAATAACAGTAGTCTTACTATTTTTTTTTTTTTTATTATATTTGATCAGTCGAAATGACATAATAAAATAGCAATAATAGGGTTAGTTCATATTTTTCTTTTGAATCGAACCAAGTTCAAAGAAACTACTATACGTTTATGAATGTATTAGCGTTTTATATTGAAAAGCGTTTTGTATGTATAAGCCAGAGGTTCAAATAAGTCTTACTGGTTCATGACAAACTCTAGAGCCCTTTAGCTTGTCTTTGCTTACCATATGTGTGTGTATGTGTCTCCCTCCGGTCTGTTTGGTTGTCCTAGTCTATGTATTGTTTTTTTTTTTCATATGTCAATATTATTGTGATATTTGAATTGANTATTAACAAAAAAATATGTGAACATACGAAGATAAACACACATACACACATATTCTTTGTTTAGAATTTCGATGAACTTAAAAATTGGATTTCATATAGGACTTTCTTCATTAACAAGCTTTTTTTTTTTTTTTGGGTGTATGCATGTTTATCTAAATGAAGCTCGGAAATAACAGTAGTCTTACTATTTTTTTTTTTTTTTATTATATTTGATCAGTCGAAATGACATAATAAAATAGCAATAATAGGGTTAGTTCATATTTTTCTTTTGAATCAAACCAAGTCCAAAGAAACTATACTTTTATGAATGTATTAGCGTTTTGTATGTATAAGCCAGAGGTTCAAATAAGTCTTACTGGTTCATGACAAACTCTAGAGCCCTTTAGCTTGTCTTTGTTTACCATATGTGTGTGTATGTGTCTCCCTCCGGTCTGTTTGGTTGTCCTAGTCTATGTATTGTTTTTTTTTTTCATATGTCAATATTATTGTGATATTTGAATTGAAGTAGAAAATTGTCTCGATAAGACGAAGCAAGAAAATTATATGAATGAAAATGAAATTATTATAGACGCAATATTTGTTAATTTAGTATGCCATGTATTGGTAAAGGATGAACAAATAGGCATCATTAACATTTAGAAAAAAAAAAGTCGTTTTATCAAATTTGAACAACTAGATTAAGAGGACATGTCTAGATAAAAAATTGTACGATCGCACTAGATGACCATTAGAATTAGTGAACAATGTGCATCCTAATTTTAATAGATTAGTATTCATTATTATCATTCAGTCAAAATGATAAAAAATTCATTTTGATAGCTAAATATTTAATGCACTTCATTCTATCGGTCTATAACAATATTTTCTAATAAAAAAAAAAAAACATTCGCTTTTTTTAAAAGTTTTAACAAATATTACAGACATGTCCGATAGCTTCCTGGTACGAGTCTCTATTATATATTTATATCAAATGATTTATAAAAAAAAAAAAAAGAATGTAAAAGCAATGTTACACTTAATGTAATTCATCTTCATCTATATCTCCGATGAAAGGAAACGATCTAAAGTGGTAAAAATCGATGCTAATTACGTCACTATTTTCCGTAAGCTCGTATAACGGAGAATACAGCAGAGAAAATGATAACCATTTGCTAGCGAAAAAACAGACTGATGGATTGCGGCAAAGTACAGTGAAAATTAATGTAGTAATACGCCGTTTCCGATGGTCGGAATGATCAAACCTTTATACAATATTTTATTTATTTCTTGTTTTTACTGAAGTATATTTAACGGAGAAAAAAGGAAACTGAAAATATGATCATTTATAAAGACAGTGAAATTAAACAAACAATAAAAGAAAAAAGTTCATTTGTGTTATAACATATTCATATCATAATTCAATCATATATGTGTTAAGTGATTTCAGATACGAGTGACATACAATTGCACTCTATATAAGATTTCGTTTGTCAAATTTTACTCAAAAAAAAAAAAAAAACCATTGAGATCATATAAACATAAATGATATAGATTCTTTCGAACTTAATCAATCGACTTTTTTCATATCGAACTAATCCTACCTTAATAAAAAATAGAACAATAATAGTGCTATGTAGTGACGTAAACAAGGACGGCTGAACCCTTATAGATAAAAATTATGCAAACTAAATCCTACTACAATCTCCTCCATTAGATAAAGTCTAGTCATTTGAGCCTTCGGCCATCCCTAATCGAAGAGTTCGATCTATGTTAAATACTCAAGAGGGAAAAAAACGAGACTTGAGTACTCCAAAGTGTAAGTGAAGTATCATACTTCATCTGCACTTCGGCGTACTCAAGTCTTGCTTTTTTTCCACTCTTGTAAACACCCCAATGTCAAAATGTTCGCTACATTATTAATATTATGAAGTTTTCTTCATCATACGAAAAACTATCGATCTCAAACTTTGTATAATTCAGTATAATTAATCTAGGAAATTTTAAAAATATGTCTTTTGAAAACTTCTAAAATATATTTTATTTTATTTAGATTCTAGTAACTAATTCAGGACAATCAATAAATCTTCGTGAAGAAGATTTAACAGATGAGAATGATGAAAATTCGAAAGATTTAACAACACCTATTATATCATCATTATCATCATCTAATGATAAAATATTTGTTGTTGTTGATATGAAATCTTCTGAAATAAGTCAAACAATTGGTTTTATTCCAAATGATAATAGTGAAATAATTATTCCATCATCTATAAATACAGCATTTAATACATTTATATTTTCATTTCGTACACGTTCAAATGTTAGTACACTTATAGAATTTGAACAAATTAGTTTAAATATTGATGTTGATGGATATTTAGCATTAGTTATACGTGATAAACAAGCTCAACGAATATTATCTAATGATGAACAAAAACCAATTAATGATGGAAATTTATATACAGTTTATTTACAACGTACAGATAAAAATCTTGATGCATGGATAATTAAAAATAAAAAAATTAAACCAAATAAAATTTCAATTGAACTTTCAACATCGAAATTAATCGTAGAAAATTTTATATTTGGTCCACGTAGTCAATTTATTGGTTGTCTACAAAATATTACATATAATGATCAATTATTATCATTTAAACATTTATCTTTCAATAGACAACAATGTCCATCAAGTAGTATAGCTTTGAAATCGGCTGAAATTTTATCTTATAATAATATTTATATTGATCAAATTATTTCATTTAAAGAATATGATCGTCCATTGATTATTAATCTTGATACTCCTGAAGATTTTCGTATATTTTCTTTTTCATTTTATACTCAAGATTTCAATAGTATTATTTGTTCATTAGCTGATAAAACTTATGAAAATTTTATGACATTAAGTATTTATAATGAACGTTTATTATTAACATATGATGATAAACAAAGAAAACGAATGAAAATTTATATGAATAATTCAATATTAATTAATGATGGACGTGAACATAAATTAGTATTAAAATTACTTAATAAAGATGATTTTATATTTGAAATTGATGGAAATATAATTATGAAAAAATTTCCTACAAATTTACGTATTAATACAATTTATATTGGACAATTAGATAGTTATATTAAAGAAAAATTTTCTGATTTAGATGGAGATAATTTTATTGGATGTATTAAAGATATTATGTTAAATGAAAAATCAATTGTTAAATTAGATCATATTCATCATATAGGAAGATTAACAAATATTTGTCAATTATCAAAACGTGGACGTAAGTAACAAGACTAATTTTAGTGTCGAGCTTTGCATTAGATTAGATTTACCAAGGTTATAAGACAAGAAATTATTTGGATCGAAGCCCAAAAACAAAAAATGGTTTCCGCACATCACTAGTCTCGACATAAACTAATTTATATAAACAAAAAAAAAACAATGTTTTATCCAGATTGTAATCTTCCGGAAGGGCTAACTCGGTCTTCGGAAAGTCACCGCCTCCATCCTAAACCACACGCTGTGCACGAATGCATACTATCTGTTTATATTATCTTCAAATTTACACCGTATAATCATTTTTTAATGATACATTACGTATGTTGTTATAGTAAACTGATAATTATTGTTATACTTTTCTCTTTTCTTGACAACTGATGTTTATCGAGTAGACAATTTATATTAGTCAATCCTATGCGTATAGACCTAAACATTATGCTTGTTATTTCTTGTCTTATCTTGTAGGACTATCTGTCTTAGATATTCACTATTGTCAAGTTCACTGACTTTAGATTAAACAAAAAAAAAATGAACAAATGAAGAACTTTTATGTTTTCAGTTAATCATCTATTGACATTAAACTTTCGAGAGTGTAACAATTAAATTAAGATGTATTCGAAAGTATTGAATTTATTAATTTGAATAGATCCATTCCGATTATCGTCTATTTGTTTATTTGTTTAATAAGAGAGTAGTTCATCATATGAAATATAAGAGTCTGAGTGTGAGAATGCATGTGGTTTTGAGTTAATGAATCTAATAGATCTTCCTATCAATAATATTCGAGTACTATTTATCGAAGGACAAATTCTTTTTACATTATAAAAGCACAACTGTTACTCTCAAATTTCATGAAAAATTTGCAATTATTTCTCATGTCTAGCAATTCTAGACAAAAATAAAATCAAATAAAATATATAAATAATTAATCAATCTATAAAATAGTAAATATAAGTATATAAGAAAAACAAAAACTTTATGTTGTACAATATCATGAAATATTATTTTATATATTTAGAATTTTCAACCCAATTGATAGACAATGGAGATTAAATAATTAAATTAATGAATTACAATATATAGTAAAAGAAATAGGCTGCTGCTTTTTTTTTTCTACGAATATAAATTTTAATTTATTGCATTAGAGACTCTTCATCAATTGAATAATCTTATTTTCCTTACAGTAAAATCCTTGATCACACAATAGAAAACAAATTAAAAAAAAAAAAAACAGTTTTCTTTTTCTTCTTCAATCTTTAATGAATATCTTTTACATATATCAAAACACACAAAAAAAAAAAGTTCATTTATATTTCATGAACAAAATTTTTCTTAATTAATATTTGCTATTATATATAGGTAAAAATGTTATATCATATGTATCACCTGATGTTAGTTTTTCAATGCGTGATCGTCGTGATATAATTGAACTTCAAGTTCAATCAAATGATGAATTTCGTTATTGTCAAATGCCAATAAAAACTCTATCATCAAATGGTGTTATAACATCAATGTATTCAAATGATGATCAACGTGGTTTAGTTCTTTGTTTAAAAGATGGTAAATTACAATTAAAATATTATTCACCATATAATAAAACATCACAAATTCTATTTAATGATAATCAAACAATAAATGATGGTAAACAACATCGTATATTAGTTACACGACAAATACCTGAATCATATTCAAACGATAATATATATGTACAAATTGATAAACGTACAACACCCGTATCAATACCAGAACGTTCACCAATGTTTTTTGATGTTCTTACTATTGGTGGTTCATATCGTTTAATGCCTGATACAGCTAATCAGCCATTTGTTGGTTGTTATGCTAATGTTACATATAATCGTCATCCATTATTACCTGAAGGTGTTCTCAAAGCTGATCGTTATGATTGTTTTTATCAACAAGGAATGATGTGTGATCGACAGACTCCATGTCATCAGAATATTCGACCATTACCATTTTGTGGTCAAACTGATTGTTCAATGGTTTGTGCTCCAACAGCTGTTGATATGGGTAATACAGGTTTAGTTCGTTATTTTACTCAAGTTGGACCAGGTCAAAATGAACAAATTGATTTAACTATTTTTACAACATCAGCAAATTCAACATTATATATATCCCGTGATGGTCCTATTCAAGTTTCAATTGTTCTTCAAGTAAATATAAAGATAAAAATGTTCTATAGACATATACTTGAAATGAAATTATATTGTATTTTTTTATGTTCTTTTTTTTATTTTAAGAATTATTATCCACGTTTAATTATACAAAATGGACCTGCTTTATATACATATGATTTTCCTAGTCGTGTACGAGGTGATCAATGGCATACATTACATTGTCAAAAAACATCCAATACAGTATGTGATTAATCATTTCGATAACAAACATTTTTCATCGTTTCTTTTCTTTATCTTAATAGCTTGATTTGACGTTTGATTATGAAACTCGACGTTACACAAATCTAACTGGATATTTTAGTTTATTTGGTGATAGAAAAATTCATATATGTGGAACAAATTTTTATGGTTATGTTCAAGATGTAAATACCAAAACAAAACGAAAAAGAAAAATTCATTTTTTTTTTTTTGTTATATTTAGGTTATTCTTGTTTCGGATAATCGTCGTGAAAATTTAATACAAAATTGTATTCATAATCCATCTTTAATTGATTATGATCCAAGTGTTGGTTGGAATAATCGTGCAGCTATACCAGAACGTAAGTTATATTGTTATTTATTATTTAAGTATATTAGAAAGACAATGGACTAGATATAGATCTGTCCGTCAAACATCGATCATTCATATTGATGTACATTACCTACGGTGAAATCATATTATTTCGAAATGACTAACGAGTCGCATAGGTATTTTTATCCAATTTATGCTTGCGTTCGTATTATAGTTATTGAGATTCATATGTAATATATATAAATATATATCCATAGTCAATTAGCATAAAAAAAAGATGATACGTGCTCTAGACAGGAGACTATTTGGGTGGTAGAAGGAAGCCTATATATATAATATTCTCTTGCATCATCTTATTTCAGATGAACTTCTATTTATTTTTATTCGATCGGTAGTCATCTATTCTGTTTGTGTAGATGATCTAAGATTTATAGCATTTTTTTATTTTTGAAGTTTAATTTTTTTGTTTTTATAATTAAGAATAATTTACTAATTGAAAACAATAAGAGCAAGAGAAAAAAAAAGCAGAATCACCAGATATAGAATAGATGTTCATTTTGACAAACTCTTCTTTTCTGTTGGTGCGCGAACATCAAATCCCATTTTTTTTTTTGGGGTATGTTTCTCTCTTCTATTTTTTTTTTGCATCAAGTACTACTACTATTGCCACTACCCCTAACATCCGAAGTCGAACGAGCGCGCATACACAATCGTTCTTGGTGTGGTTGGTATACTTTTTTTATATGTTAATAGGAAGCTTTTTTTGTTTCTTTGCTCTTCTCTCTCTCTTTTTCTGTCTATCGCTTCTCCTTTCCGTTCGTACGTGTGTGCGAACGCATAGTCAATATATATATATATTCACAGTAGAGTCGAGGAGAAAAAAAATAAGAAGAGGACGACAATGAGGACAGCGATTTTGTAGGCTCAGCATTACTAGTACCGAGAGAGAAAGCGATAGAATGCAGTTGAGATGACGTTAATAAAGCATCTTCCTTCATCTGGTTTATGTTGTTGTTCTTACTAATACAAGATATTACTATACTATATTCTCACATCTTTTCTTTCTGTGTTATTCATTCATCGTAGATTTTTCCCCGTATATTATATATATATTTTTCTCTTTCTCTGCCATCAACGTCGTCTTCGTCGTCGTTTTGCGGTTTAGTGTTTGTTTGCATCTTACGTTATTCTTTCTGTTGCTTTTTTTTCCTTTGCATTTGCCTATTACTATTACATTGTGAAGAAAAAGAAAAAAGAAGAAGAAGAAGAAGAAGAAGAAGAGGAGGAAAAATACGAGTCCGAACGATATTCACCATCATCAACCGGCGCCGTTCGTCGCATCTCTGAATTATTATTGGCAAAAGACTTTCTTTCCTCTTTTAACTTCATACCATTTGCCATCACAATCATTATTGACGTTGTTTGATTCTTGAAATACAAAAAGCCACAATCAACGACATCCACTTTACTCATCGTTTTATACTAAAAACCACAGAAAAGGCAGAAAAAAAAAGGACGCAGGAGAAAAAGAAAAAAAATATATATATATTCAGCGTTGGTCGTTTATTGATGATGTGATTCATTCCTTCGGCATACAATCACACGTTTCTTTTTTCTACATTTTGTCGTGTTTGTTACACTGAATATATTATATACTATGAAAACCTCCATACTACTACTATTGATAATAAGTATTATTGAAGCTGCACCTCCTCCTCCACCACCACCATCATCTCAATATGAAGGACGATCAGTAGGATCTGTACCATGCTATATTGGTTGTTGTAAGTTATGTTATATTGTTTTCTCATTTATTACTTTTCTTTCTTAAGAGATATATTTCTTTTTTATAAACATAAATTTTACTTCATAATGTACATATATATTTTACTCTAGGGACACCATGTGAAAGAATCAATTGTTTAAATGGTGGTTATTGTATTCAACCAGCAACACAAACAGCTTTAGCTTATTGTCATTGTCCTGCTCAATATACGGGATATCGTTGTGAACAACCACGTAAGACAAAAAAAAAATTTCTTTTATTCTTTATATTCTCATTGGAGACAAAAAAAAAGAACTATTGGCTAGATGCCATTTATTATTGATAATGTAATGATGTAGAAACTGATAATGAAAACCTTGAGAAACAAATAGATCAAACTGTTTTGAGAATTGCATGTTTTATCAGTCGATTGTTTCTTTCATTTTGGTCATATGTCAAAGTGAAAAAGTTAGTTTTTTCTTTTTGAGGTCAAGGATATTTTTTTTTCTTATTTTATTTGAAATATGTTAAATATTGTTGTTATTCTTTTTTTTTTTCGTTTAGTTTCAACGGATCCTTGTGTAAATTATCAGTGCAATCACGGAACTTGTCAAAAAGATCGTAATAATCAACCGTATTGTTCATGTTATGAGGGCTATGGTGGCTCACGGTGTGAAACCCAAATCGGTGTGTAACAAAAGAGCACGCACGTTCAATAGTAGCAGTAGTTTTTCTTTTCTTTTTTTTTTTTGGCGTTCGTTTGCTTTTACTCAGCTAGAGGTGACGCAACAATCATCCACAACCGACTTCCATTAGCGAGTTGAGTTGAGTATAGAAAAAAGAAAGACACAAAGACAACGAAGAAAAAAAAGAAGACAAGAAAATTGAGACACATATTTTACCGACACACGCGTACACGCGTGTGCAACAACATACAAACGCTCTGGGACAGACATCAATCACTCCCTTTGTATAAGTTGCGGTCAATCTGATTCTATCCTCTCTCTCTCTCTCTCTCGTTTTTTTCTCTTGTATTACACAAATATGTCGCCGGCAGCAAAAGAAAGAATTTCAAAAAACAACAACAACAACAACAAAAACACCAATAATCAGATTCATATATGATAGAATAGACTATATAGTAGTTGTAGGCAGCATTGATCATTGTGATGGAATGCAAACAAGGCAGACATACACGTTTTTTCATCTAACTGTAAAGAATTTATAATTGCCTATTGGATATTTCATTGGCTAGCATGTTCTTGCGTACATGAGTGGATTAAGGAAACGAGTATGATCAATACAAAAATAGAATATGTTGTGCAAGTCTTGCATAATTCTTTGCTTGATGATAATGCTATTTCTGTTCATATTATTATTATCATCATCATCATCATCATCCAGATGAAAAAAAAAAAAAGAGAATTGTTTATCTATGCACAACGATCATCACTCGTTCTTCTTAGATAGTGCTACATTCAGTATTACATTCAAGGTAATAAATAGGTCGTGGTCTTCAATCATTTTACATCATATTATATCGTACTATATGCATAGATGTTTAGAAAAGACTATATATACATTATGCAAATTTTTTCTTCTTTTTTTCATTATTAAACATGAACATATGCACACCGAAAGAGAAGAGAGAGAACAAAAAAATGAGAGCGCTTACGTACACATGAGTAGCTACCATGCACGTATATTCATATGGTCAAATGTCTATATGTTTGCACTCTCTTACTCTTTCTAATCGAACTGGTCACTACTTTTCAATTTGCATAATGGAATATATGTGTGATTGTTGATTTTAAATATACATGCGAATGACAAAAAATAATAGAAATATGAATTTTCAAGATGAAATTAAAATTTACCTTGATGAACTTCAGATATAAAGAATGATTACTTTTATAGTCATTTTTGATTTAAATGCATCGATAAAATCAATCAGATTAAACTTGATACTTATTTATATTTTTTTAGACCCATGTGCACGAGTTAATTGTAATCATGGTCGATGTGAAATCGATCGTGGTATGGCTGTATGTCGATGTTATCAGGGTTATACGGGACATGATTGTCTTACACCACTGGGTAAGAATAATATTCAGAAGATTTTTAGTTCATATTTTCTTTTTCTTGTTCTTTACACATCGTCTGGCTATAGCTTATTAGTAGTTGATAGTTTTTTTTTTTTCTAAACAAAGAGGAAATCTAATAATTAGATTCAGCTATAATATATTTATTTTATTTTTATTCTTTTTCTTTCTCTATCTATAAAGACGCATGTGCTCGAGTTTCATGCAATCATGGTACTTGTATCAATGAAGGTGCATCATATAGATGCGAATGTCATCGAGGTTATGAAGGTTCAGCATGTGATCGACAAATAGATCCATGCTCAAATTTTGTTTGTTACAACGGAGGTGTATGCCATGTCCAACAGGATAATCAACCTATGTGTCGATGTGCACATGGTTATCGAGGACCGAATTGTTATGAATCTGACGGTATGTGTATGTATATGCATGAATGTTTAAGGCAGAGTTTTTGATTATGTGTATGCCGTGTAATTTTTTCACAGACGAAATAGACAACAAAAAATACCAACAAGATTAGGAAGAATTTTTTTTGTTTTGAACAAAAAAAAAAGAAAAGAGAATGCATGTTGTTTTAAAACACGATTTATTTATTTATTTATTTATTTTTGTTGTTACTTGATCACATTCATCATTTTACACAGACGTTTGTGACAATGTCAATTGTAATTATGGACAATGTTCTATTAATCCAAACGATGGCACAGCCTATTGTGTTTGTTTACCGGAGTATACAGGTGTCATGTGTTTGGAAGAAATAAGAGTTGAAGTCTCTAGTGAGTAGACAGTTGATGAGCTCTATGATGGCAGTAAAGAATGAGCTTCTTCTTCATATAATTTTATTATTTCTATTATGCATTAATATTTATCAAGCATAATAATTTCAATACATAAGAATGTATTGTTTGTTATTATTATTTAACAAAATGAAAGTTTTATTTGTTTTTTTTTCGGCTTTGATGTTTTCTTTTTCTATTTCTTGCATGACAGTTTGGCTTGTGTTTATTTAACCGGTTGTTCTAATTGAAAACCTCTTGATATGCTAACCTTCGTATTAACTATGTTTATTTTTTTTCTATTATAGTTGATCCATGTTTACGGTACGATTGCTCTAGTGGTACTTGTACGAATGATCGAGGCGTAGCTCGTTGTATTTGTCCAATTGGACGTGTAGGAAGTCATTGTCAAGGTTGTTTATTTAAATTTTGTAAAAGAACGAAAAAGAAACGAATTTATGTTTGTTTCTTATTTAAGAGGATATATGTACAATGTACCCGTGTGCAAATAGTGGACAATGTGTCCCGGAAGGCAATAGTCGACGTTGTATTTGTTCACCACCGTATTATGGTGACGATTGTCGAGAAAGTAAAAAAAAAAAAACAGAAAAACTAGTGCAAAAATTAAAATAATAATTTTGAATTTATTTAGTTAATCGACCAAATCCATGTGATAATGTTCATTGTGTTTATGGATATTGTCGTGAAGGAATTTGTGAATGTCATTCAGGTTATTCAGGGCCACGTTGTGATACACCACGTAAGATTTTTTTTTTCTTTCTATTCAATATAAAAGAAAATTATTTCATACATATTTCGTTTTTTAATTTTAGCTGATCTTTGTGCTGGCATTAATTGTTATCATGGAACATGTTATGAAGGTCGTTGTGCATGTGCAGAAGCTTATACAGGATATTATTGTGACACACCAAGTATGAGAAAATTAAAAATTTTTCTTTTCTTTTTTAATGAATAAAAAAAAAATCATTATTTTTCTCTTTGACTATTAGTTGCAGCACCTTCACCGGTACCTGTCGTTGTAGTAACAACTGTTCGTATACCATTAGCAGCTCAAACTGGTGCTGTTATCGGTGCAAAGAAAGGTCAATTAATTGATTATGGTCGTTTATTAGGTGGTCGTGCTGGTCCTATTGGTTGGATATTAGCTATTGTTTCTGGTTTATTATTATTGCCACTTGCACTTGCATTTGCTGCACGTCAATGTGCACAAGGTGCATGTTTACCAGGTGGTGCTCGAGCTGGTTATGTACCAGTATTAACAGGCACATCAGGTGTAACACAAACTGAAAATGGTAAAGTTTTTAATTTTTTGAAATTTTTGATAGAGATAATTTTTTTTTTAATGTTTAGTACTTTATGCCGGTCCTGATAGTCGTGCAACACGTGATCTTCAATTAGTTGATCAACGTGGTGATAATTTAGCTGCATCAACTGCAGCTGCATCATCAGGTGGAATGGAAACAACACGTATTGAACAAACACGTGGTAAGTATTTAAAAAGCAAAAAAAATTCAAGAATTTAAATTAAATAGAAAAAGTAATGTTTATCACATTACAGAAATTGTTAGAGAATATGGCGGGATGGATACTGCTGGTGCTGTTTTTTCTAATTATCCAACAATGTCATCACGATATGGTGACTTTGCACGTGATGCACATAATCAACAATCATCATCAGCTTATTCTCAACGTAGGAATATGCATGAATATGATTGTTGTTTTGTAATTTTTGTTTAATTGCATGTTATATTTGATTTATGATTCAGATAAAATGTTATTTTGTTGTTTTTTTTTAATTGTTTTTTATTTCTTTAACTTTTAGAACATGTGATTGAAACTGATTATCATGCACCACCTGTTGGTGATTTTGGTTATGGACGTGGTGGTGCTGCTGTGGAAGGTTATCGTGATACATTTGATTCATGGGAAGGTGCTGGTGGTGGTTATTCCATGAATGCTATGTTTGCTGATGGTGGTCTACAAACTGATTATGAATTAAGTAATATTAATTCAATTAGTATGACACCAAATGGAAAATATGCTATTGTTGGACAAAGTCAAGGACCACCACAAATATGGGATGCTGTTGTAAGAAAATATTTTTATTTTATTTATTAAAATAAGAAATCGATGAAATGATTTCGGACAGAAATCTTTAAGAAGCAAAGCTTTAAAAATGCATTGGAATTGGAACTTCTATTTTTCTAAGTCTCGCCTCAGAAGTCGTTTTTTTTTTAATCAAGAATTTTACTATACACTTTCATATTTATTCTTCTTCTTTAGAGTGGACAACTTGTTTCAAGTATGCAAGGAACAAGTTCAAATTGTAGTAAAGTTGCCTTAGCATGTAGTGGTACACTTTTAGTCGGTTTAGCTAGTGATGGTATTGATGCCCAACCATGTGTACTTCAAGTATGTATTATTTAAAATAGGTTTTTATCAAAAAAAAATTCTATTTTCTTTATATTATAGATTTGGGATGTTAATACAGGCAAACCAGTACAATTAACACATCAAATAAAATGTGCAACATTTACATTAAGTAATAATTCAAATAATCTTATTATGGCTGGTAATCAAAAATATGGACGTGGTATATCAGTTGGCATACTTGATTTAAATAATTCAGAATTAACTAAAGAAATTAAATCTGATACAAATCAATCATATGGTGGTACACCATCATTTATAACATTAACACCTGATGAACGTTATGCTATTGTTGGTTGTCCAACAGGACCAACATCAACAAATTATGTTGTATTTGATTTAACAACTCAACAAGAATTAATTCAACCACCAACAATAACATTAGAATCTGAACCAAAATGTTCAATTGTTTTAAATAATGAACAAATATTAACAGGAACAAAAACAGGACAACTAATACTTTGGGATATACCAACATGTCAACGTTTACATACATTAAATGATAATGGACAAAATGCACATCGTGATCGTATAACAGATTTAAAATTATCACCTGATCGTGCATCTTTAGTATCGACAAGTGCTGATGGCACAGCAAAAGTTTGGGATGCAAATTCAAAAGAACTTATTTCAAAATTAATTGGACATAAACGAGAAGTAACAAAAAAAAAACCAGAAATTATTTTGTGAGAAAAAAAAGTTAATTAATTTAATTTCTTTTAGATTACTTGTTCATGTATATCAACTAATCAATTAGTTGCAACGGGTTCAAAAGATCAAAATATATGTTTATGGCGTTTACAAACAGGGCAAATAGCATCAACAATGCCAATTGCTATGACACCAATTGATATACATATGGCTGCACACAATCGAACAATAGTTGCTATTGGTGACAAAGATGGTGAAAGACAATTATTAATGCTGCGTGTTATATCTGTACAACGATAAATTTATTTAAACATTTGATCGCGATTCCTCTTTTATTATTATTTGTGTATTGGTGCTGCTGCCGCTATTATTATTTAAGAAAAAAAAAAAAAAACTTTCTACTCTTACCCACTATTCGCCATCGCCGCTTCGAACAGTTGTTGTTTTTTTAAAATGTCTTTTGTTTGATTTTGTTCTTTATAGTCACAGTTCGTGTATGCATGTATTGTCCTGCTCTGTTAGCAATAATGTATAATAATAATAATATCCTTCGCGAGTTTCCTTCGTAAAAAAGAAAAAACAAATAACGAAACAATCTAATTTTTATCCTTTATCCATTCTTGGTTTATTAGGTAATTTTATTTCCTATTTCGTCTTCTCTCTCTCTTTTTTTATTCGATGAAATTTCTTTTTTTCTCCTTCGTTTGTTTTTTTTTGTCTTATATATGTGAAATGTTGTTTTTTTTATTTCTTTAAAAGTACTCGTCTATTTATTTTTTTTTTCTTTTTATTCATGTTCATCATCATCACTATATAGAATAGAATTTTAATGAATTTTATGTTGACATATCAGCAACTAAAGGATCTAATTATTAGAAAGAAAAAAAAAAACAAGTTTTAAATTCGTTTTTTGTTATCAAACAAAAATGACTGCATTTATGTGTTGATACATTATTAAAATTATCTTAAATTGTTAGCGTTTCGTAACCTTTTGATAGATTGATTATGTAATATAATTCGATGTGCTTCTTTAATTATTGATTAGTTTTCAAGGTGTTGAGGCTGTTCGGAAGTCTTTGTCTTTACCTTCAGTGTACTTAATGCTCCGGAAAGGCAATAAGGAAGTATTTCATAAGGTTATAACAAAATGTTATTGATGTACGGTCTATGATAATCTTTGGCTAGCGTCTGTCACGATCGATGGAGGACAAGGTTGGCTCTAATTAATGCAATGCGAAGTACGGCATTTCTGCAGTTGGTCACTAGAAATTTGTTCGAACTATGCCAGGAAGATTCATGCCTTGCAATAATGCAAACAAAGATTTTTTAAATCTTCGATCAATTCAAAGCTCATTGCAGAAAACTGAAGTCGCATCGCATTTATGTCGTCCTTTACAAGTTTTCTTTCGTAATGATTTCGGAAACAAAGAATTAAAACATACGTAGATACACGATCTTATACTGTCTTATATATTCATTGAAGAAACTAAAAGTTATTTTAACAGTATAGATTTGCAGAGATTCTTTTTTCGTACAAAACTCTTATAACTATTTAAAATCAAAATGAGTTATATCTCTTAAGCTCTTTACTCTTATTGCACTATGAATAGTGGAAGTAATAAAGGTGTACAATTTAAATGATATAATTTATTTTGATTTCAAATTTAAGAGTTTTGCACGGACTAGATTCTCTACAAATTCACGCTGTTAAAACAGCTTTCACCTTCTTCATTGTGTGAATAAGATAGTACGAGATCGTCTATCTAAATAAAATATCTGAGTATTATAACGAAATTTTCAACTTAGAACGGGCGCATAACAGTTTGCAAAATAATTAGTTTGATACTATTGGAAGAATGAATGACGACATGCTATAATTGAATCTTTCATAAAAACTAAACAGATCAAACCATTGATCTGAAATTTTTTGCTAGTAGAGACTATAGGCTGTAATCTCTGACGAAAACCAGATAACTCTAAGATAAAATTATCTACTACTAGTTGAATAGTTGTGATATCTACTGTATATACTTGATAGTCCAATTAGTGCTCTATAATTCTATAATATTTCATCATTCTTCAGTTGGAGACAAAAAATGGCCTATCAGACCTTGAATTCAGACCATATCTTTCATGATCATTCTCAAGGACAACTATTACAATATCTAGCTAATCGTAATGTTTCTAAGTTTACAATGATCGGATATTATTCATTGGATGATACCATGATTCAAATTAGTTTGTGCTTGCGATTAATCAATCATAACATGAAAATGATTATTGATAAGGCGATAGATCTGTTTGATCTTTTTGGGTATTGCTCGATGACAAATCGGCCGGATTGTGCTTCATCTCTAATATCTTCTTATCCTTCATGAAGTCGTTCATATCATTTTTCAATTGTTCTAAGAGGTGGAGTCTGAGTGCTGAACATAAAATATAGCGCAGTACAGGCTGAAATACAGAAGCGAAAGTTTTCTCTATGCAACAAAATCAGAAATGAATAACATACATGCCCAAAAGTATTTCTTCAAATGGAAAAATGATCTATCGACAATATACAGTTCTAACTTCATTAAAATGTCATCATTTACAATTATTAGCAAGTCCTAATTATATCACTATCTATTAATCGACAACAACCTCGATTTGAGAAGAATCAACTTCATATCGATAACAAAAAAAAATTTTCTTCTCGTTATCTTCAAGATTTTTTTGATGAATCAAATGAAAAATAAAGCCAATATTGATCGTTCAATACCACCTATTGTTATACAACAATTTATGGCACATGTTAATGATGAAACAATGAGCAATATAAAACCATTAGATAAGATTTATTTATATATTCCATTGTTCAAAAGGTCAAACGCAAATCAAGATAATGATTAGATATCGTGTATCCTTCAATGGTACGTTTACTGTTAATCTATCACTGTTTGGTACAAGAATGTGATTTCTTCTTACAACAGATAATTTTATACTTTTGTAATGCTCATGTTGTGTATTTCGAAGAAAAAGATAGTGAGCATAAATTTTTAGTCGACGTTTTTCGACTCTCCCGTCCTTGAGGAGGATGAGAATGAATTGGATACGTTTCTAGAGCAAATGACGACAACAACAGACATTAGATTTCATTCCTAGAGTTCTTTAGCAACAGAAACAGACGCTACATAGCCTTTGAAATACCGAAATAAATAAGATTTAAATGTTTCTTTAATAATCGATTATCCTTTAAAGGCAATTATCATTTGTGAGCAATTCTTCAGCTGATATATTTTGTATTAATACTTGAATTGATTTTAATTTCATTTTTTCTACTTGCTCTCGATCACCACCTATCGATCTTATAAATACATCAATAGTAAAACGAGATTTCATTACTATTAGTTGGAAACTATGAAAAGATGATAATGAAAATGAACTTATCGGTTATCTCGTTGAAAAACATGATGCTTGAAGAAATGCTTGGCAATTTATTGGATATAATAATCTACGTACATTTTCATATAGAAATACTGGGTTCACTGAAAATATTGTATATCATTTTCGTGTATATACAGAGAATTGTATTAAAAATATTACCAACATTAACAACAATTGATCCGATTATTGCTAAAGGTTCATATATACCAGAAGAATTATTATTAACAAAACTTGTTTCATCAACATCAATTGAATATTCATGGCAACCACCATTAATAGGTTATTTTACTCAAATATATAATATATCAAGATGAACTTAGATTAAAGGAAATTATTTATAAAAAAAGTTTTGTTTATTATTTTTTCTTCGTATATAGAATAGATATGTCTATGTAATTACATATTTTATCAGCAATAACAGCAATTGTTTTCGAGTAACAAAATTGAATTAAAAATGTCTGTTATCTTTTTTGTAGTAAAGTAGCAAACTCTATTGAATATAGCGAAACAATAGTAGTTAAACTAGAAAAAACAAAACAGTAAATTCATTAATTATTTTACTTTCAAGAAATGGAACAATCCCTTCATTCAAGATTTCATAGGATAAACAGTAGATATACAATTGTATCCAATAGAAAGTGCTCATATGTTATTGAAATATGTGAAATACCAAAAACAACACATGATTAAAAGAAAGACGCTGTAAAATAATAATATATGAAGTATGAGATTCTCAAGAATACTGATGAAATCAAATAGAAAAAAATTGATACATAAAAAAAACACGTATACACGAACAGATTTTACAATAAAATTTATTTTATCAATTAATCTACTGATTGAATCACTAGATATGCCAGAAGCATTAACAATAACACGGGATACTTTAATAATTAATTGACATGAAGGTTCATCAAAACCTAAATGCTACACTATTGAAAAACGTGAAGTATGAAATGAAATAAAATTAGATGCCAGTGAATGAACCAAAAAAAATAGTAAGATGTTCATCATGAACATCTTATACGTCATATTCAATATGAGTTATATGTTTTTATTAAAAATTCTTCAAATGATTGTCTAATTAGACTTACATGATGATACTAGCTATTGATACAGGTAAAGACGCACATATTCGAAATTATATTGTGAAACACAAACAAATTAGATTCGTTTTTAAGATAACAAAATGTTAACAATTTATTACAAACATATACATGTCTTGTGAGTGATTTAACATCAAATGTACAATATGTGGATTGTTGCCGCAATTCCCAAGGTATTAAAACGTAAAATACAATGTAGTTCCTGTTGATAATCATAGATATATTATCTCATTTTAATCTATTTAGAAATACATCTCTTCATCATTCATTGCTTTGCAAAATCAACGATTTAGAATTTGTTTATGTTTAAAGTGTGAATACCGTTTGATATTTGAGTGATGTCATAATCTCGTTACACCGAGTATCCACATTCCCACAACACGAAAACTAATAGGTTATTCAACTGAAGCGTATTCACTTGTATCGAATGGCTACCACTTCAAGGAGTAATCACTTCATCTCTTCCAGTACCACAATACGTCTTGGCACCACAAGAACAATCGCTTCTCTTCAGGGTATTACCCTAAGGGTAATGACATTATTCATCTAAAAAAAATAAGGGCATATTCTAAAAGTTGAGGAATTTGAGTGGTTTTGGTGTATTATCCCGAGTGTAATGACGTCGTTACCCCAAATCCACTCAAATTGGATGTGGGTGTGTGGGTGTGGGTGGGGTGTGGGAATGTGGGTTGGGGCCTATCGTTTCGGAATCAAGTTCTTTTCGAAGACTTATTCTGAGTTCTGTATAGATTGTGTAATTTGTTTGTGATTCTTCATTTATTCTTGAATCATTTTGAACAAATACGACAGAGTCAAATCCATCTGATGATGACCCTTCAACAAGGTCGAAATCTGGATCATGGCAAACTGGACTTATCCGCTAAAGAAATGCGCCGTTTTTAATTGCACAACAGTGAGAGAGAATCAATATCCTTTTCAATATTTCTTTGTATTGTGCAAAATCGTCCGGGCCATATACAGCGAAATTTTTTCTCTTATCAGTGAGAAGGATAGAAGAAACCATTTCAAGGTAGACACTGTCATTGTCAGTTAAAAAGAAAAGGAGTACTTCTTACCAGCTGTGAGTAATCACTTTGCTTGCCACTCTGTCACAATCACCATAAAAAGCTTTTTATTCAATTTCATATATAAACGGTGGCTTGTGTATGCTGTACGCTCTTTCATTCACTTCAACAAAACGAACCATTAGAAACACGTACGTCAAAAAGGCAGAATAATAAGTGATTTACAAATTACCAAAGTAAGTAAGAACTATCCTACCCATTATCTTTAACAACCCTCCTCTTTCCTTTTCGAGATTCCTACGTTGTAAAAAAAATAGGTGTTTTACCGAACCTGTGCCCAGGATAAGATTCTTTTGGGTTCCGTACGAAGCTACCGAACCTTTTTCCGGTTCGGTGTGAAAATTGTTGAGCTTTTTTAAGTTTGACAATTTTGTGCGAAACCGAAAAGGATCTTATCCTGAGCATAGGTTCGGTAAAATACCTATTTTTTTTTATAGTGTAGAGAATGGATGGGGAGGTGATTTGTAACTTGTAGGAAAGAGATCTTAACTAGTGGAGCAAAATTTGTGCTATACTAAAAAATCTCATGCTTCTGTTAGGGTAATACCGGTGTCGCAAGTAGTTAAAATAATTCCACTTTTGTTTCCTACTTTTATCAGAAGACATTCATCGGTCGAGTTCAATTCAAAGCAAGAACTGATAAGAAAAAAATGGGTGTGGGTGTGGGTGTGGGTATCTTATTTTAACTCACATATACACTCACTCGCACACCCACATCCAAGATCATGAGTAGAAGTCATCGTCTTTTATAAGAGTATGCATTTCTATTGTCTATGACTAAGAAATATATAGATAACGATTGTGGAATTTTCTATAGATAGAATGCAACAAGTTATGGGAGATAACGAATGAGGTTGTGTCAATGGAAAAATCTTAAATTATGATTTATTTCAACTTCGGATAATAAGAAGATATAAAGTCACACCCTTTCAGCTCTCATTCATGCGTGTGTTACACAGGACAATCCAGCCAAATCATGGACGTAAGCAACTACCGTTCGAAAACATCTGATGCTGGCATTACTTTTTTCGGCAATGCTGGCTCAGGTAAAAGTTTCTTGTGTAATTGTATCATCGTACATGAGTAATTTGAACACCACTTTAGACCTGCAGCGGTGACAACCGTCACTGAATACCATCGGATCGAGAATCTAGAGAAGTTCAACCTTCGAGTCTACGATATTCCGGGATGAGTGGAAGTAAATCAAAAACGAATCAAGGAAAACAAAACGACAATTTATGGAAGTCTTCGAGGAGTTTCCAAATTCAATTGTTGTTTCCCTTTAGGCACAATGGAGGGCGAGTGAATCCAAACGATGTGATTTCATTCAATGCGCTCTACGATGCCTACGCTTTCCCGGCCGAATCTCTCGCATTTGTCGTCAACGATCTACCTGCCGATCGCAATCGTCAACGTAACTACGATGAAAAGTTTCTCGTCACACTCGAACTATCACCAGAACCATAAAAGTCTCCGTCAAAGATATTACTTTTATTAATTATATTGACCCTGAAAACGAAAAGAAACTGACTGGTGCACATACAGTCTTATTGATTTGATCTCAAAACATTGTATACTTCTACAAACCAAGCGTGTTAATATTATCCTTCAAGTGGAACAGTTGCAAAAGGATCAATGCGTTATCAAAAATAAGCATATGCAGACTGTACAAGACAAGGAAAAATTTAAACAGCACATTGAACAATTATACAAAGATCTAGCCGATCGCCAAAACAAGCTAATGGAGGTTCAATAAGGGAAGAAAAACGCTGAACAAGACATTGTTCTAACAAGATAATGTGAAAGTCCATTTTATTAATGCCATGTTCTGTCTATTTGTAATATTTATGAATAGCTGATTTGATTTGTAATTCACCTCAATTAGTCTTTAGATCTGTAAACGTAGTTTATTTCATCACAAACAAGTTTTGTTACTCAGAAAATTACGAAGACAGTTAGCACTTAGAGAAAACCTGCCACAACTTCTAAATCTGTGACTAGATAACAAACCGATAGTCTTCCAACAACATTAAAAAACCATAATGATTAGAATATTGAAGATTAACTAACTACGTTCACAGATCTAAACACTAACTCTAGTGAATTACAAATCAAAACAGCTATTGCTAAACATTACAAAGATACAGACCTACTTATTGAAGCATGGGTGAAAGTGTCCACTTTCGATTACTGGTTACTTCTAGTCTGTATCTCGTATTATATTCGAGTTATTCCAAAAATAATCGCACGTCTTATACTTTGGGACGGATAATAGTCTAAACAGTTTAGTATACAGTACGATGGAATAACATTTTTCTTTGTTCTAATTACAATTTTCATAATTGCCTATGAATTAACTTTTTTCTAAACTGTCGTTCACCAAACTGTCTGTAACAATAACTAAACAGTAAGCAGTGGTGCAGAGATCTTTTCGGTGTCAGAGACAGAAACGGAACATCACATCAATTTTTAAACTTGAAAAACTTGTTAGTTTTGTGTTATCACATTCTTTCTTTATTTATCTTAACCCGATTCTTTTCAGATTATTTCCGGAAAAAAAAGTAATTAATTAATTGTAATAAACATGGGTAACAATAATAGCAGTGGGAAAACAATGAATTTGAGTCCATTTTATTTAGCTTGTCGAAATGGTGATTTAAATACAGTAAAACAATTAATAACATCAATGACGTTAGGTGAAATAAATCAAGTAGAATCAAATGGTAGTACAGCATTACATGCTTGTTCATATTATGGCCACAAAGAGATTGTACAATTATTATTAGATCATGGTTGTTGTCGTCAACAATTAAATAAATATCAATTAACACCACTACAAGAAGCTAAAACAGATGATATACAAAAATTATTTGAACGCTCACCATCTGGATGTCAACAACGTTTTACTTCATCACACCAGATACAATTTGAATGGCCATTTAATGATCCATTAACAGCAGTTCATAATCGTTTATTTTATATTTCGTTTCCTATAAATACAGTTACAAACCAAATACAAGCATCAGGGGTATTAAAAAACGATATACAAGGTATGAAACAAGTATTTGGTTATCTGGCTAATGCAGAAAAAACAAATGATTTATCATTCGTATTACGAGCATATACAGCTGAAACAGATTTTTATAAACAACTAAATTTAACAATGGCTATGGAAGATTGTAATTTAGATAAAGCGAACGAAGGTGGTCAGACGAAAACAAAATGGGCACAGTCGTATACAGGAATCATTGGTGGAGATTCACAATTTAAGAAATATGAATTTAAGAATGGTGTGACATATCGTGGTATAACATGTGCACAAGATGATTTAAAAAGATATATTGGCGGCGTAGTTGTTTGTAATAAATCATTTTTATCAACAACAAAAGATCGACGAATCGCTGAAAGGTTTGCTGCTGTACCTGATAATAGTGACAAAAAAATATCGGTCATGTTTAAATATATTATTAAAGATGGGAAAAATGCAAGTGCATTTAGTTTAGAAGAAATATCTGAATATCCCAATGAAAAAGAAGTCTTAATATTACCACAAGCAATATTTAAAGTTAAAAGTATCTTAAAACAACAAGAAAATGGGAATGATAAATATGAACTTGAACTTGAAGAAGATGAACAAGAATATAAAATAAAGTAGATGATGATCTTCAAAAAAACAAAAGTTTTTCTTGTTCGGTGTTTTTTAACCTGAAAAACATAGATAAGTGCACGAAATGCAAATATACCCGCTTCTTAACTACCCATGAAATTTGAAAAATGGTGAAACGGCGTAAAAAACGCGTTTACTTTTGATACCGTTTTTACTTACAAAATGGTCACAAAAAATGGCCAAATGACGTTTCAAATTAGTAACGCGTTGGTCTCCACTTGCTCAGCAACGCATTAAAACCTTCACTGTGCAAGTCGGAAAAATGGAGCATTCGGTTCGTTTTCGATCGTTTTTTTGTGACCATTTTTGTAAATAGAAACCATTGCGAGACAATCGTTTCTACATGCGAATTTCTTTTTCGAAACAAGCCAAACATAACCGAGACATAAAATCACGATAATGGCAAGCTCGATCTCACCCCCTCACCTTCACCCTCACCCTAACTCTTAGTTGACGAAGGAACCTCACGAGGTGATAAAAAGCTTTTGAAGGGGGTCTATGTCTATGAGATAGCTCGTCAAAAGTTAGGAATAATCCACCTTATGCGACGTGCCCATGGTGCTTCTTCGTGGAGAAATTGAATTTTTATTAGTTTTCTTCCCATGAGGACTGACTTTCGAATTTTGATCTGAAACTTGCCACACAGGTAGCTCAGGGATTCATTAACACGATGGCAAAATCTCAGCTCAAACAAAACTTTCTTTCTTGAGATATCAATTATTCAAATTTTTGTCCAAAATGTAAAAAAGCTACATTTTTTCAAAAGCTCATATCTCAAGGAAGAAACTTTTTTTTGCGCTGAAATTTTGCCATCGTGTTAGTGACTCCCTGAGCTACCTGTGTTGCAAGTTTCAGATCAAAATTCGAAAGTCAGATTTTCCTCGAAAGTCAGTCCTGATGGGAAGAAAACTAGTAAAAATTCAATTTCTCCACGAAGAAGCACCATGGACACGTCGCATAAGGTGGATTATTCTTAATTTTTGACAGCCTATCTCCTGGACATAAGCCCCCTTCAAAAGCTTTTTATCACCTCGCGAGGTTCCCGTGTCAGTCGAAACGCGTCGTGGTAGCTACATGATTCATTTAATCCTCGAATCATTGGATGATTTCTAAACTCATCCCTCATCCGACCAGTGACAGCAACCGAGACTGCACATTTTTAACTGAGACTTTTATCTAGGTTTGTTTCTTTGAGATGACTCATTTATGGTGTTCTCCAATCCGCTTTAGCTGATTTATTTTCAAAAACGTGGACAATGATTTCAAAAACCAGACAAAATTGCAGTAATGCATCACCTGCGAGCATGTTCGAACGGTCTTCCAGCTGATTACTTATTCTCGTTTCGTTGTTCATTTCTCTGAGAAAATATTGTTTTGCACTTCTCTCTGGAGAGCTTTGACTGACTCTGATTCTGAGACTGGTTCTGATTCTGATAGTTGCGTTGCCGACCGAGAGACTGTTGACCAGCGTTCGGTTTGCCAAATTGATGGTATCAGTTGTGATGGTCACTTGACGGAGGGGACCGCGAGAGGGTTACCATCTTCCGCTCCTTCGGAGCAGTGATCTTGACCTTCACGGTGCTTGTACAGTACTGTAAAGTCTCATTTTCTGACAGATTTTCTGAAGACCTAGAATACTCGTAGAAGATCTCGGAGTGTATGCATCAAATTCTACACTGTTTTTTTTTACCTTTATGGGTGAGTACTGATTTTTTTGTGATTATTTATAATAAAATCATTGACTAAAATCATATGAATAAAATCGATTAATAATAAATTTTTTGGTGATTTCTGAGAAAATTGTTTTACATGGATGATACGCAAGTGTGAAGAATGTTATTTAAACGATGTGTTTGGTTTCCAAACGCACTATACTGATTGATCTAAGAGAATTAAGAAACAGAAAAGTATAATAGCGACGTCATTCGTCTCTACTACGCATTTCAGCGACAGCATAAAGGCACATGCCTCATCTCGATTGGCACATTAAGTCGCTGTGTGTAGACACGTGATGTTTTCAAACAGAGATAAAACGGTTTTATTCCTCGAGTGTAGAAACGCTCTTAGCGACCACCGATAGGGTGGGTGTGGGTGTGGTGTGGGTGTGGGTGTGGGTGTGGGTGTGTGGGTGTGGGTGTGGGAGTGGAAGCAATGAAGGGGTACACTCACACCCCACGCCCACACCCACACCCACACCCACAGCCACACCCCACACCCACACCCACACCCACACCCCACACCCACACCCACACCCACACCCACACACCCACACCCACATCTACACCCACACCCAGACCCACACACCCACCCACACCCACACCCACACCCACACACCCACCCACGTCGGCCAATCAGATCATAAACGCCGGTATCATCAAAAAAATGCAACTGTGGAATCAATCCTCGTTAGGGTTTATATGGCATTCTAACAATTTTAGATTAATAAGTATATTTTAGTTTATCTCTCTTGTATGCAAAACTTTAGTTCTTCTGAGTTGTATGCATTGGCCGCTTACTAAGCTTTTTATGGTTTGCTATTAAGAGAGTTTTTCCAAGTAATAAACTACTAAAACACATATTTTTTCTAAAGATGTTTGACATATACGTATATGAGTGTTCGACTTTAACCAAACTGAACTTTCTCTTAAAAGACTTAAGATTTGCATTTAGGTAATTCGCACATTAAGATGAATATTGAATGAAAACTATAAAATGAGGTCTAATTTGCACCCTAATAATTATTATCTGCAAGGATTTCAAAGATGGAAACGGTTTATTGATAATAACCTGCCTCAGTTCCTTGGAGAATAATTAGTGCATGGCAGATTTATATAATACATAATTAATAACTGTATCAAGTATATGAAAAAGCATTGTTGTCTCATTTTGCTAAAAAACATTATAATGGAACAGCTACTTTTTATTGTGCTATTCGCAGTTTTCAAAAGCCAAAAACTTAATTTTCCAGGAATCTTTCGCATGAGGGAGGCTAGGTAAGCGCAGATAGTCATTATGAAGGGCCACCTATGTGTACACAAAATATTAAGTTAATAGCTGCAATCATTAAAAGAATTGCTCCTGATCCCTTTCTCTGTCCACTTTGCCCTCTCTCCTCCCTCCTCCCCGAAAAGCCGCGATCAATGCTTGTTTCTGTATACATCGCAAACTCTAAAAATATGGTACCATAAAAAACCTAGGTTGCAACGAAGTCGAAACCTTTTAAGGTTTTCTACGGACCTAAAACACCTTCAAAAAGACTCGTCAGGGGTCTGGAATACTTTTTCAAGGCTTCGTAGATTTCCTACAAAACTTTCGTTGGTTCCACATGACACCTTTTTTTCAGTGAAGTCTATCATAAATTTACAGTTTAGAAAAAAAATTAAACCCAATAAATAAATTCTGGAATACTGGTATTTTGGTTATTTAGTATTTGGATAGGCAACACTGGCTCGAATATCTTGATTCAAATTCCATTATTACATTTCGGACTTCACAATAAAAATTTTGGCTTTTTAGCTACAGTGTTGTCGATCAAACGTTGAAAATTTTACTTATTTTCGAACGCAAATTAGACTTCCACTCCCTCTATACAGCCTGTACTAACAATCAGAGACCGAAAAGGGACCGAACAGAACTATTACGGTTCGGTTCGATTCCATTCGAGTCGATCCAAATTGAAGCCGAACCACTTCTTGAAAGATGATGTTGAACTGAGTCGACCGAAACTAATTTTCGAAAAGCGAGTGAATGTAGACAAATTTATGACAAAAGTGATCGATTTGGGGTATCACGTTTTTTGTAAAAATCTAACGCACTGGGCAATGATCCAACGACGTTTGATCGATTGTTTAACATCAGAGACCGAAAATGAACCGAGCCCGAATCGATTTTTTGCAATACACTCGAACTGAACAGAACGCAAATTGATTTTAAAAAACAAATACGAACCGAACCCGAACGGGTTTTTACAAAAAGAAAAACGAATCGAACTGAACTCGAATCAGCAAAACTCGGTTCGATTTGGCCTCTGCTACCAATACACCCTCTACACTTTTTGTATTATTATTATTCTAAACTCATAATAGATGTAAGTAATTGTTGATCATGATTCATATATGCATCCTTTTATCTCGAACAGGAATTTTTTTTCAAGTAAAACTTTAATACAGCTGAAAGGCGCATTCATCCCTTGTCAACTAAATTCTTAGGGCTATATAATATGCTAGAAAAGCGATAAAAATTTCAAGATAATTATTAAGTTTTCCTTCTTGTCTGTGGGAGGGTAAAGACTCAGTGGGAGGGCGGCGCCCTTTCTACACTCTAAAAAAAAAAGGTATTTTACCGAACCCTCCAAAAAGGTTTCGTAGGTGTCTAAAAGCTTCCAAATGTGGCCAAATGCTTAAAAAAATGGTTGTTAAAATCTACGAAACCTTAAAAGGATCGGGTGTCGGGCACACCGACCGAACCATCTCCTACGAAACCTATTTAAGTTCCGTAAAGCGAAAAAAAGGTTTCGTAAGAAAATACGAACCCTTCATAGTTTCCTGGTAACCCTATGGTTTCGCCCTATAGTTTTATACGAAACCACAAGGTTTACTAGGAAACTATGAAGGTTTCGTATTTTCTTACGAAATCTTTTTTTCGCTGTACGGAACTTAAATAGGTTTCGTAGGAGATGGTTCAGTCGGTGTGCCCGACACCCGATCCTTTTAAGGTTTCGTAGATTTTAACAACCATTTTTTTAAGCATTTGGACGCATTTGGAAGCTTTTGGACACCTACGAAACCTTTTTGGAGGGTTCGGTAAAATACCTTTTTTTTTTACAGTGTAGCCACCCCCTAGATACGCCACTAGAATGTATCCTATGCAAATTAAAAATTCATGAAGCAGATTGAATAAATCATTTTTGAATCATGAATTTCCAAGTTCTGGTCGAGAGTTATCAATCGCATTAGGCACGGGCGTAACCCATCACTTGGAGCATCGGGGACTCTACATAGACGAATCTCAGAAATAAGAGTAGTGCATGAAGAAATTTCAGAAGCAGGGTGGACGTTACGTTGATAAATTCCAGAAGAAGAAGGGCGTCACGCCTCACGAAAACCCCCATATTCACCCTCCTAGCATTACGTCATGACTTTGATTTCCCCGAAAAGTTCCCCTGTATCAAACTGCACAAAGAAGAATTTTGATTCAGGTAAATCTGTGAATCATCGACATTTGCATTTGTGCTGAAAACAAGAAAGGCTACGATATATTATTTCAACATTACCGCTACACCTGAAGACCATCAATTGAATGATAACAACGTTGTCTCCATTAAGAAGAAGGTACGGAAAAGTCCACAGTCAGAAAATACACAAGTGCTTGATAAGAAGAGAAAATTACCGATGAGATGGCAACCAACGAGTGATCTATAGGACAGAAAAAAGAAGAGAAAAGGAGAACGAAAGGAAAAAGCCATAAGACAGAAAAAAGAACAGAAAAGGAGAACGAAAGGAAAAATTCATCGCATACCAAAAATAGAAAGGATGAATAACATGACTGATAAGAGAGATGAGACAGAAGAGAAGAGGTAACAACCTAACAAGTAATATGAATAGCGGCGCACGTTTTACTCTTTCAACGGGTAAAGAAACTTTTCTCGACGCATACAGAGTGTTTCATAAGTCTTGAGGCTTGACAAAAATGACTTCTTATGCAAATAAAAATTAATCTTGAATCGAATGTTTTTATATGAGGTTTGAATACTCGTGACGCTTTTTCAAATGGCGTATTATTGGATGATATTTTCTCTTGTAATAATAAAACGATAAACATCAGAATGTGATGATTAATTTTTTGAAATCGATCAATAAAATAACGAGTGACCTGAGGGTCGCACTGTGCATTTCATATTTTAATTTGTAAGTATGCTTTATTAAAAAATCAAAATATACCACAAAATGCAGCTTGAAAAGCTCTACAATTTATAAAGTAAAGCTTATTTTGATTGTGTACTTTTTGTTTTCGAAAAATTGCAAAACTCTGTGCGATCAATTTTCGCAAGTGCAAAAATTGATCGCACAGAGTTTTGCATTTTTTTGAAAATAAAAAGTACACAATGAAAATAAGCTTTACTTTGTAAATTGTAGAGCTTTTCATGCTGCATCTTATAGTACATTTTGTTTTTCTTACGAAAATATATTAGGTAATACAAAGGTGAAAGAAGAAAAGAAATTCTCGTTCGTCTTGAAAAAAATGATTTTTTCACAGCGACGAACACTGATTGACAGAGTTTTGCTTTTTTTTTTGAAAACAAAAAGTACACAATCAAAATAAGCTTTACTTTATAGATTATAGGACTTTCCACGCTGCATCTTGTGGTATTTTGTTTTTAATAAAACATATTCACAGATTAAAATATGAAATGCAAAGTGCAGCCCTCAGGTCACTCGTTTTTTTATTGGCCGATTTCAAAAAATTGATCATCACATTATGATGTTTATCTTTTTATTATTACAAGAGAAGATATCATCCAATAATACGCCATTTGAAAGAGCGTCACAAGTACTCAAACCTCATATAAAAACATTCGGTTCGAGATTAATTTTTATTTGCATAAGAAGTCATTTTTGTCAAGCCTCAAGACTTATAAAACACCCTGTATACACTCTTCTGACCAACAATAGATCTTTTCTTCGTTATATACTTCTGATCTGACAAGAAAGTAATCCATTCATCACCACGCATCCATGGCGTCCGCAGTTCGAAGGCGTAATTTTCGACTGTTTGATCAATCACCATGTGAACTCAACAGCACGATTCTTCGATCGCCCATTGACGGTTGTGAAGGCGAAAAAGAGGTGGATCTTTCAGAGGCATGTAAATCTTTGTATGGATTATTTAACAAAAACACTGTACAACGACATGTTGCTGAAGCCTTGACAGTAAACCAATATCCGGATGATGGTTTAACCCAAGATCAGTCTGCCAGTATTTGCCTCTATACTTTACCGTGGACAGAATTCTATCAACTCTTGAATACCAGCCTTCGAATTGGAGACCGTGACATCCTGAAGAATTACTTTCCTTTTCTCAAGCTGTTTGTCACCGCTCTACTCAAGCTGCCGTAAGTTCTCAACAGCACTGTATTCCACATTCCAAGATCTACATTCACGGTGTCGAAGAATATGTTAAGCTCTTATCTAGGAGTTACATTTCAACAGATATTGCAACAGTAGACTAAACGAAACTCAATTCGATCTTAAAATCTAGTCGTCGAAAATTAATCTGTCGAAAAGTTCCGTGGAAAAGAGGACATCTTTTTTCTAATACTTGCTCGTTCTCAACCGATGACTACGAATTCAGTAGAAGTTTTTCCCGCAAACAGATCGCGAAAGGGATAAGAGGAGAGGGATCTTTACGATGTTTCTTTCATAAAATACTTTGACGATGACCTAAATGATTGACAGTCAAGCGAAAAAAACCTGGCTTACGTGGAGCGTTCATTGACGTTAGCGAAGAGAAAATTTCACCATCGAAACTAGGTTTTGACTTTTTGCATTTGACATCCTGAAATCAGAGGGTCGATGCGAACACCATTCAGTGCGCTTTGCACAGAAGTTAGGAAGTCTGAACAGAAAGTATGAGTACAATCAGAGACGAGATAAATCAATACAGAATACACTTTTTTGACACTGTGACGATCGCGATTAGTGAGTGTGTCTGTTTCAATTTTGGCAGGCGGTCAACAGGTCGACTTCTATGGCGAGCCGTTAACGAAGATCTGACTCCATACTTAAAGCCTGATCAAGAAGTGATTTGGTGGTCAGTAACATCGTGTACCACTGATCTGAATGTTGCCAAAGCTTTTCTAGCTGATTCATCACGACGTCGTACACTTTTATGCATCGAAACGTGTTTAGCTAGAGATATTACTCGTCATTCGATTTGTCGAGGGGAGGAGAGTGAGATGATTCTCCTTCCCGGCACGTGCCTGAACGTCCACAGCCTCTATGACGATCCTGATTCGACCGATATAACTATCGTCCATCTGAAAGATCAGTCCCCACCTCAATTGCTGATTGCTTCATCCTTCTCGAACGTTGACATGCCCGAAGAATCGAAGTGTGGTAAGTACACAGCGTACACGATGTTACATATGCTTATTACCTTTACAGCGTATTGTATTTTATCTAAAAAAGTGTAGTATGAAACTGAAAAAGATGTTTGGAACAATACGAAATCTAGCACGGTTCTGTTCACGAAGACGTACGGTGCAGCCTTCTTACAAATAGCTTTCGAATTCCGTAGGCAAGAAAATGGTATTTTGCAATAACGCGACAACTTTGCTATGAGATAGATATCCATTTGAGCTTGCTATAATTCTTAGAGACTGTATCATGTTTGTTAGAAACCGGTTTTTATTACATTATTCCGAATAGTTTTCCACAAAACATTTGTCTTTTACTTCCTGGAACAGAATCAGTTTAGCAGGTTCAGTGTTCAGGATTTTTTCAGATTGAATTGTCCGAGAAGAAAAGCTCCAAATGAACTTTCGAGGTATTTTCTGTACACATATTAATACTATTCATCTGAATCGCATAAAATAATAATTATGACTAGAGTTCGACAGAATACTAAACATTCTTCTAAATACAAGCGTCTTTCTTATATTACAGCCTGGTCTGAAGCAAAACTACGCAACTTCATTCGCGAAGAGCGCTATTCAAAAGAACGCATCCTCCTTGAAAATGGCAAAATGAACGAGGAAAACATGGCCATTTTGGCCAATGAATTTGATAAGGGTATTGTAGACTGGCGTGAAGTCTCCTTTTGGGAAAATAATATGGGACCACGGTGCGCTGTCCATATTGACCGCATTCTTTTAAAATCAACCCTAGTCTATCTTCACTTGGGTAACAATCGGTTAGGTTCCGAAGGAGTGCGTCGCCTTCGCGCTCTAGAAAACCATAAAACATTGGTTGTGCTCGATTTATGGAATAATGATCTGGGTGATACCGGTGTTGAGTACCTAGCTGATGTTCTCCCGAGCACTAAATTGGAACGTCTGAAACTTGGCACTAATAATATAACGGATCACGGATGCCAAGTTCTTTTTGCTTCATTACCATCTACAATGAAAGATCTCGATCTCTTCTCCAGCCAGCTTACATCAGCTAGTGTCAATGTTATTGCACAAGCACTACTTTCGACCGATCCAAAACTCACAAATCTCAACGTTGGTGGAGAAAATCAGATCTCGCAGGTCAATCGAGAGATGTTGGAAGAGATAGCCAAGGTTCATAAATGCATTCTGGAATGGTAAAGTCATGATATGACCAGAGCGGACAAAAAGCGGTTCAACTGCGGTAACCATGTTGAGCGAACATCTGACAAATAGCAATTCGCGCAGGCATGTTTATTTTTTGTAATTTATTGCTACGCTGTTCGTCGATAAACGAATAAAAACGTTTTCATCTCGAGTCTCACCCAGAACGATATACAGGGTTGTCTGTACAGTCCGTGCAACTCATATATAGCAGTGACAAAAATTTTGAGAACAGCATGTTTTTGATTTTCTTTTCGGTAGTACTAAGCTCCCAGCTCAAATTCAAATAGTGTTCTGGGTACCGTCTGAAATGCTCTAGTAAATGCTGTCCATGACAAGGTTTCATAAATAAACGCTGATGGCTGAACTTCTAAAAAATCGGACATGGCAGAGTGAGCGTGGGTGTGGGTGTGGGGTGTGGCTGGGTGTGGGTGTCCGTATGGGTGTCGGTATATGTATGGGTGTGTGGGGTGTGGGGTGTAGGTATGTGTGAAGAGACATTAAAGACTTACACCAGCACCCGCACTCACACAACCACACCCATACTCACAGAGTGTGGGTGGGTGTGGGTCTGGGTCTGGGTGTGGTTGTGGGCGTTAGTCTTCTCTCTCCCCACACCCTCGAAAAATGGTGAAAAAGTATTTTGGCAATTTTTCATACATAGCAAGGGTTAAAATGAAAACTTGTTTTACCAAAATGATCAGCACAAAATTCTCTACAAACTCTGAAAGTTTGAAGAAATTTGGTGATGGTCGCCGGATGAGCTGGTGATTTCCCATGGATTTGCCCTCATGGGAGATCGGGAAAAATAGGTATAGCTATTTTGGCTGGAATGATCCGAATTAGCCCACCTAGTTTGGCTTACTGATGCGAATTAGCCCATATGGGTAAGTCAAATCAGCTCCACGGTGCTTTTGCCATTTTCGCCAATACTTTTCTCCACTATAATATGTTTTGACGATTCCTTCACCAGTAGATAGAGGACACTTTATACTATCCATACTCCAAATATCATTCTGCAATAGCGTACAGTGACTGAGAACGAATAGAAACAAAATGAAATTTTGATCCGAATTACACCAGGGGACTCTATATTAAATGTGACATGAGCCAATTTTGAAAAAGTTTTGATTACAAGAAAAAACTTTGAAAATTTTCAACAGAAAAAAATTCACATAAAATATTAAATTCAAAGATCATGTTTTCATTGTTGTACAATAAATCTTGATTAAAAAATAATTGAAAAAATAATTTATGCCTTAACTCGTCGAATTTTAATCTAAACAAGAAAAACAATATAAAGAATATGGTGTGCAGTAGAAATGTTGAAAGGAAAAATGTCGAAAGAAAAATGTCGAAAGGGAAAAATGTCGAAAGGGAAAAACGTCGAAGGGAAAAATATCGAAAGGGAAAAATGTCGAAAGAAAAAATATCGAAGGGGAAAAATGTTGAAAAATGAATTCTAACACAAAAAGATGTAAAAATTCAAAATTCAAGAAACAACGATGTCTCCCATAAATGACAACTCTACATTCGAACAATGCACGTTTTCTTTTCTTATAATTGTACTAGTCGAGATTTTTCACCACTAGTAGTAAAGATGACTAATAAGTGATAGAGATTAAATAAACAACTATATACGAAGTAAATAAATAACTAAAGTGATAATAGTATGGCAACAAATACGGTATTTTTAAATGACGGAACTCAACCAAAATTGAGGATTTCATTTATTAAATCACAAAAAGGAAAAACTTTATTAGTAGCAAATGAATATACTTTCAAACTAAACAAAACAACAACTACAACTAAATATTGGAAGTGTACATACAATGGTTGCTCTTCTAAAATTCATACATTTTTTTCTATTAACATATGTTAGTGTTAGCATAAAAAATAAAGAACGTCTCTTCTATTTCAAGATCTTCTTACAAGAATAATGAGCCATTTTCTTAATGTATATTTTTTTCGACATTTTTCCCCTTCGCTTTTTCGACATTTTTCCTTTCGACATTTCTACTGCCAACCAAGAATATAGACATTGAATCATAGTTTTTTACATTTTTATCTTCTGTTGAAATTTCACTAATATATTGTTCATCAGCATGTCGTTGAAATACTTTTTCACCGGGTGATTTAATCCATGGTATTATTGCAAAGCGAAGTTGATGAAGTTGGTAAGCTTCTTTAAACTCTTTATGAGTATCATATCTTTTCGTAATCATTTTTCCATCTGTAAAATGACAAGTTTTGTCTCCGATAATATTATTCTACAAAAATCTCTGAGCTTACTATTGTTATTTTTTGCTGATGGAAAAATTTTTAAAGGCTGTTCACTAGTCATCAATTCCTTGTTAGTATGCATAACAACGACTAGTTGAAGTCTAAAACAAATTTCATTTATAGTTGTCGACTTGTATAAAAAGGATAATTACGGTAATTGTTTTAAAAGCTCCGAATATGGTTTTAACTCAACTGTATTGCCAAGAAATATGAATCGTGGATTTATATTTGGAGAATTCAGATCAGTTGGATGTACTTGAAACTTGAAATATGGATGGTAATATGTATAACCATTGATTTCAGCTGTTACAATACATATTTCAAGACAAATTCCGAGAAGATCGCCTAATAGATATGCATTTGGAATCTAAAAATGAACAGATGATTTATAATGCTTAATTATTTGAGATATAATCAAACCAATAAGTTAAGATAATGATGATTTTCTGTATCGGGAAAATAACGTGGTGCCATTGGTTCTGATGGTTTTCCATTACGTTTTGTAGATTTTTTTGGTTTAAAATCAGTGGCTTTACGACCGCGAAAGTACAAAGCAGGCTTGATTTCAAGTCTCATTCTTTCTACTGGATTTTCATTGTTCAGAATCACTGAAGTATTTTCTGTTAATATTTCTTCAACGATTAGAAATTTATTTCTATTATTAAAAAAAATAAACGACTTTATATTTATGCATACTAGATTGAGGAGAAGGCATAGCCGCTTGTAAAAGTTCTTGAATCTCTAACAGTGCAGTATTATTTTCATCCAAGAAAATAATCATTCATAAACAAAACGCGAATTGATGAACTTACTCGGAACTGATGTTGTGGGATGCTCATATTTCTTTCTTTTACACGAATCTATACAAAATAAATTATTATATAGCAAAAAAACAATAACAGATAATTTCCAGGCTAAAAAAATGTGTTTTAAATAACTGAAAAATTATTCTTTGAAAACGCGTATTCCGTCACTTAATCTTTAGATTTTAGGTAGGTGGTTATGCTAATCTTTAGAAAAGCTCCGGATAAAATACGTTAGTTTCATCGAATATATTGTATTTAGGTTTATGACTTATCTGGATAGTTATCATATGTAGATAATGGTAGTTGAAGCATATGAAAGATTATCATAATCTATAGAAAAGTTGAATTCGAAAAATAAAGTAAAACATTATTATAGCCTTACTGCATATTTTCGTTTAGTCATGTCAGCATTCGGAATATCCCATAGCTTTTCCGATTCGATTATATCTAAACAGTATTAATACAACTCGAATGAAAACTATGATTGTCTACATGTCACCTAGTTCAATTGTTGGTTGTATTAAATTTTTATTGTTACAATTTGATTCCATATCGATGTCATCTAAAAGCATGTAAAAATATTTTATTTTAAGATATTTATATATATACATATTGTTCTCTTACAATTAAATTCTTCCTTAAGAAATATATTCAAAAGTTTCACAATGGTTTTATCATTACGTTGAAAAACTTTGGTTTTTTGTTGATTTTCCATGTTAATCACATATAATGGATCGTAATGTTCATGTTCTTCATCGTAAAGAATATAGATGCACTCTTCAAATGATTCTATACTTTCGCCATAAATGTTGTTACCGATCCGAATACTGCCGTCTATACTTTTGCTTGCGGAAACAATACATATTACTAATCGACATATGATAGATAAAGCTTGTAGTTGAACTTCATCACCATATAATTCACCTTTTACAATTTTATTACAATACTCATTTACATCACCATAATTTGAGACTAGAGAATTTAAAGTAGCATTTTTACAAATACATTGGGAGATCATTGAACATAAATATTGGTTATTTATTCTATCCGGGTACCCATTTGCCTCTCGTATTGATGCCAATAACGATGAAGCATTATCATTGATTTTTTCAATGCGAAATTCGCGTGTTTTTGTGAATGCTGCTTTCGTTGACATTGATAAAATTTGAGAGTATTCTAATCACGAAAATATAAAACCAAGAAATGATTAAGTTACAACTACAATAGACATACTATTATCAGAAAACCCAACCTTGTATTTGTTTTCTTAGTCAGCATGATGTCAGAAAAGAATAAAATTTGTTTCTCTCAACTCAAAGGTAAATAAATTGCACGCTTGGTTTTATTTGTTTAGTAAAGATGAAAGAAAAAATGTGAATCTTTTAACTAATTGTTTAATAAATTGTTCATTAATACTGAGTATTACTCACTAAAAGATAGTCAAAACTTATTTTTATCTATTTGATTATAAATAAATTTTGGTCTATTTAAACGAAATGAAAAAAATCTTATCTAAAATAATAATTGGTTTTATTTTGTCTTAAGACAGTAAGGATGTTTATAGAAGGCACCTATTTAAGTGCTAAGTAGAAAAATATAAATGCTAAGTAGATTATTGCTAAGTAACATATATAGATACTCAGTAGAAAAATTAGATGCTCAGTGAATTTATTAAATGCTTAGTGGAAATAATATTTCTCGGTGACTAAAATTTTTGCTAAGTTAAATAATTAATATCTAAGTAAAATATTTAATTACTCAGTTGATAAATGAGATTGATAAGTTAGAAAATAAATTATATGGATAAAGAAAAAATATTGCTAAGTAAAAGTGACTATGACAAGAAAACGATTGTCAGCCTGGGTGTAGGTCGTACATTTTCTCTCTTTTGTTCTGTTAGGACTGATTTGATGTAAACATCAACTTCTAGTATGTTCAAGTATATTTTTCTCTTTCTTCCTGTGACGATCACATATGATCTCCACTATTTTCCAGAAAATTCTTCTTCTTTAATCGCCTGTATATATCTGGCGATTGAAGTTTAGTTTAAACATATTACAATGCCAAGTTTTGTACAAACACAACAGTATGAGAGTTCATCGGAATCCGACGATACGATGGATCAGCAGAATGTTCAAGAAAAGACAAAAATTAAACTTAACTTTGACTGGATAAGAGACAAATGCTTTTCTAATGATACAGACGCTCAAATAGCAATTAAACGAGAAGAACAATGGAGTCGATATTTTACTAGCAAAGTTCAAGATGGAGTTAAAGTTCATTACCGCTGTAATAAAGTTAAGTTTCGTGGCACACAATGTAATGCCGCAATTTATCTCTTTTATCCGCACAATAGTGATGAAGTTATATTATTTCGTGCAAATAATGAGCATAACCATACTGATTCAAGTAAACGTTATTTCTTCTCTGAAGAAATGAAACAAAATATCCAGGAACTGTTTGATATGAGATTAAAGCCAAAGAAAATATATGAAGTATTGGAAGAGAAAAATTTCATGATAACACGTAATCAAGTGAACAATTATTTAACACAATTACGTAAACAAAAATTTGGTCCTTCTAGCTTAAGCTTAGGAGAATTGGAATCTTGGTGTCAAGAGAAACATACAGTACCACAATCTGACGATGAACCATTTGTAGTTTCTTTTCATATTCATTACGAAGATGATAGTGACGACGATGATGAAGACGTCGTCGATGATGGTAATAAGTTCAGATTTTTTCTCTCTTCAAAACGATTACTCCAAATTGCTTCGATATCAACCCTGTAAACCACCTTCAATAGCGAAGGATGTACCTTTGGGTGAAAAAAGAAAGCGAGGACGACCACGAAAAGCAACACAAGCTTTGTTAATCGATTAACTGTTCAAACTGAATTTTTTACTTAGATATTTCTGTTTTTTTACTTAGCAAAAGTTATATATCTACTTATCAATTCCTAATATTTTGTCTAGAAAACATGACTTTTTTTACTGAGAATTTAAATAAACTACTTAGCAAAAAATCTTTTCTTACTTAGATTTATATTAAACAAATTACTTAGAAAACATTGAATTTTTTACTTAGCATTTATATATTTCTACTTAGCACTTAAATAGATGCCTTTTATTTAACATTACAAAACACTCTTATTTTTTTTTTTCTGTAAAGGTATGGCTATAACATCCGCTTATATGGCTAAATATATTGTTCGAGATATTGTTACTTATGTTGGTCCAGCTAAAGATGTAATGTCTCTAGCTAAAGTAGAAATCAGTCTTACTGCTGTTCCTGAAGGCAAAAATGTTGTATTTGAATGGCGTAATAAACCGATATTTGTTCGTCATCGTACACCACAAGAAATAGCAAGAGAACAAGGTGTTAATGTTGTGCAACTACGTCATCCACAAAATGATTCTGAACGAGTACAAAAACCTGAATGGCTTATTGTTATTGGTATTTGTACTCATCTTGGTATGACTCACTAAACAAAAGAAAATCGATTATTTTATGTCGTCATTTTTTTTTTGCAAATTTTATTTTAAGGTTGTATTCCAATTGCAAATGCTGGTGATTACGGTGGCTATTATTGTCCTTGTCATGGCTCACATTATGATGGCTCGGGACGAATACGTAAAGGACCAGCACCACTCAACCTTGAAGTTCCTCAATATGTATTCAAAGATGAAAATACTGTTATCATCGGTTAGAAATTAATTATGAAAAAACACCAACCCGTTCCTTCATTTGTCACTTTTTTTGAACTAGTTTATTATATTCTTTGGCATAAAAAAAATCATATTGACATTTATGATTTTCTTTTTTTTGCATTCATATAAAAACCAAAATCAATTTTTTATTTCCTTGTTCTTTTCAATTAACAATAGTAGATGTTCTCTTGAAACGGGACAAAAAAAAAAAACTTTTCAATATATTGTTGTTATAAATTTTAACCATAGTAGAGAATTCCATTTAAATTTTGTTTCAATGTAAGAACAAGGCCTTCTTGATTGGTGTCATATTTCCATAGAACATATTCATTATTTTTTCGAGCCATTTGAACATAATGATTAACAGCACGATATAAGTCATGCAATTTAGAATCATGAGCAATATCTGCAAGTTCTTTTAATTTCAGTAATTTTTCATCTGTAACTAATGAAAAAATTTCATTCGGAAGTAATGTGCTATCCGATCGTTTGATTTTTACATCATGTTCATCATCATCAATCAATGGTAGACCAAACAAACAATGAATATGTACGACGAAAATAAGTGCAGTTAAAAATATGATGATGTTCTTTTTTAGAAAATTAAAAATTAAAAATTAAAAAAAAATACTGTATTATGATTTTCAATCAAACTTACTTGCATCTTTTGACTTTCAGATCAGGTGCTGATGAATATAAGACAGAAATGCGGCAGATTTTTAGAAAATAATGAATTACTAGTCAATATATATACTTTTGAATCTGATATGCTGCTAATACGTATATTACTCAAGTATATAATTACTCTTTCAATGACGCCAATAATGAAATTGAAGAAGACAACGCCTTCTTTGCTTTCAAATCTCATTTTCTTTGGCTTTTTTAACCTTTGTGTATATGAAGGATGGTCCATAACTAACAACTTTTTTTTTGTATCTTTAGCATAATCAAAGGTGAAGACGTATTGAATATACACTACTGGTCAGAAGTCCCTGGACGTATGAAAGTTCAAGTCAAGATCAATTGTTTTCCATGATATTTTTACCAGAGATGTAGCTTGAAAAACTGTGATCGTAAGTACCAATCCGAGCTCGAATACACTGAGTAAAAGGGAAGTTAGAGATCAAATACTGCTTTCAGCCCGGTAAACACAATCTCGATATTTAAAGAAATTTTCAACCTAGCTGACTCTTGCTTTTGAAGTCTGCTGCTTGTTACATCTCCGCCATAGATTTTTTAGAAGAAATTGATGATATTCGGAAACATAGCAAGCAGAAAGTTCGAAATAATGGATGAGCCAGGTTGAGAAATCCTTTAAATATCGAAATTGTGTTTACCGGACTGAAAGCAGTATTTGATCTCTAACTTCCCTTTTACTCAGTGTATTCGAGCTCGGATTGGTACTTACGATCACAGTTTTTCAAGCTACATCTCGGGTAAAAATATCATGGAATACAATTGATCTTCACTTGAACTTTCATACGTCCAGAGACTTCTGGCCAGTAGTGTATATATTTGAAGAATAGCATCTAAGCTATTATTCAACAAAAACTGTATTTTATTTGTATCAACTATAAGAAAGTGCTAAATTGATAAAAAAAAATTTTTAAATTATCCAAGTCACATGTTACTTCTTTTCTGTAACAAATTATCAACTGAATATTTTCGTCAGTTTTTTATGGTTTGACTTGAATTTTTAGCAATATACTGAGTTGATAATTCTTTACAGAAAAAAAGCAGAAAATTACTTCAATAAAGTTTTTTCAATATCTCTACCAACGCGGTACTTTCTTACGGCTGATGCAAATTGAGTACACTTTTTGTTGAATAAATAATAGCTAGGACGTTACTTTTCAAATATATATGTCCAACACCTCTTCGTCTTTTACTATGACAAAGATACAGAAAATAATAAAAATGGAATCGTTACTTATGGGACATTCTTCATATATGAATACGTTATCATTAGTAGTTACTTAAACTATAAATAACATGGGCATTTTCACAAGGCGTTAATCGGACTGGTGAACTATTACAGACCAAGACAAGAGAATATACGCTTCTTTATTTTCGATTTGATCAGAAGTTCGGTTTTATATATTACAAAAAATTCAGCTCTATACAAATTTCAGAAACTAGATAAAACCAAAACAATATAGACTTAGTTTGAAAATCGAAGTTGATCGATATAATTTATTACCGTTTTATTAAAAAATTAAATCAGTGATAATTGTAAATGCTATCAAGATTACGTTCTAATTAGACAACTAGTTGTTTATGGATCGATGAATAAAAACACAGATCTAGTAAATTTTATTTTCTTTAAGTTTATTGAATTGCTGTTAAAATATTCAACAGAATGGAAACATATCAAATTAGCAAATTTCGTATATCTATTTACAATCAAACTAATTCATAGCATCTATGATAGTAATACGTTCTTATAGATAGAGCTCTATTATTAATGATTAAAATGATAAACATAGAAATAAATCGAATAAGGACACTTATTTTTAAGTTCTTATTTTAATGAGTTTTTTTTAGAAATAATTTATTACACCAACAACATTAATTCGATCACATAAAATAGGACACTAACTTTATCCAATCTTACTTGAAAAATTTTTTCTATAATATGATCTCTGATTTGGAACGAGATTGAATTATAGTGACATTATTATACGCCTGAACATAGTAATTGAAAGTTGCACCCTGTATGATACGATTAATTTAAGCCAAAAGGAGATTGTGCTCAAATTAATATAAAACTGATGGATCAGATTTTTATATCCGCTACCTATATATATGCGCAGTGTTCGAGTTTAAAAGTAGAGAAAGCTGAATCTATCATGAATTAGAACATGGTCGATGGTAGGCGGGATCAAAAAGTTTCTTTTCCTGAGCAGTTTTGTATATTCTACACAGGCGTAATATATTTCTAAATAAGCATGACTTAATATAAAAAGAACTCTTCAATTAGATAATAATTAAGAGAATAAAAAAGTACTCTTTCAACATATGACTTTTATAAAAAAAATCTCACATGTCTACGAAACAAGATAAAACACCAAGGGGGAAACGGCGGATTTCAAGTACAGTAAAGTAGAGTAAAGTAACGTCTATAGTAATCTAAAGTAGGATAAAGTACTTTACAGTTAGAGCAAATTAGCGTAAAGTACTTTAAGGTAGCTCGAGGTGCTGTGAAGTAGCACAAATTAACTTCAAGAACAAAGTACGCCGTTTTTCCCTGGTAAAACACCCGCACGCCATCTGTATTTTTCATGAAATTTTGAGGCTAAACTCGCTTATACTGTGTTTCACTCACTGATATGACTAATTTTCGCAATCAATATAACATTTTCAGATAGAACTTAACGAACTCTATCGGATGCATAAACTTTTAGAACTGTTTAATTGAATTTTCGAATCAGTTTTCAAGAAACATAGTAACTCGAAGAAGTCCTATTACCGGATAAAAAGTATATAAATTTCAATCGTACAGTCTCCATTTTCTTATTAACAAATGAAGGCTCGTATGTCAACTTTGTATCATGGATAAGGTACTCTACTTCGTTGGAATTTTGAGGTGTGGCTATGCTTTCATTATTTGAGATGATCTCAATATTGATCTCTTCTTCATTGATGGGTGTGGTCGTAAAATTAATCAAGAAAAATTCGATTAGAGCAAAGTACTTACTGAAAAAATTTCAAAGTTAATGATTCAAATTAGCCGAAAATATCGGTGGTTTCTCGACGATTCCTATCAGCTCTCATGTGAAGATTACCTCATAAATCAGACACATTGATATAGAGTTTTTATTGGTGATAGAGGCAGTGCTGAGCTATAGAATAAGAGTTCTTACCTTACGAGGTTTGTTTTCTATGTTGAGATATCCTCGTCTGAAGAAAAATTGATGTTGACCTACTAGATTCTCAGCGTGAAGACTGATCAAATCGTGAATAGTGCTTGCAATCAGATTGCAACATACTCTCTTTGTGATCAAGCTATTGAACTTAAAGATTATTGTACTGTAGTACATAATTTCATTAATATCTGAAAATTGCGACGATTTTGACATATTCATTTTTTATGCTGTTTTTTGTTTATAAAAATATATTCATTTACAATTAGCATCGAATTCCGAACAAAACTGAGCATTTTGTTTATGAAACTTTCAACTTGAATTGTTTTCAAAAAATTGGTTGAGCCGAAAAGCATTGTTAGTTGGGTTCTTCTGAAAAAAAAACGTCAATTGATGTAGAATCCGGTTCTGATAACGAATGTCTAGTTGCTTTTGTTTTTATCTTAGTCCAAGCTGCAATTTTAGGAAAAGAATGAAATTCTGTAACAAAGAGTATTTTTACTTTTTATTCGATGTCGTTTTACTTATTAAAAAACAGCCTGACATTTTGGAAAGTTTTTGAAAACTAAACAACTTTTATATAGAATCCTTATTTGTTTGTCATTTTTTTTCGTAATGAAATACTAAACTACTATCTCCTCGTTAAAGAAATTGTATTTTTTGAAATTTTGTGACGGTCAATTTTTGTTTGAATAACTCAGCTTTGGTTTGAGAAAAATCAATGAAATTTCTGTTCATGATAGATCTACATGATCTCTATCTATAATGAAAATTTTAGAGAATCTGTATTTATCATGTAGGTGATATAGATATGACAATTTTGAAAAATAAAACTCCATAACGCTTCACCGTGCCGAAATACACTTGACTTTTGGATTCTGTAGTAAATATCATAAGTAATTGATCACTTCTTCTTAGTTGTTAGTAAACCAATATTAAAAACATAAGGAATAGAAAAAGATTTTATGTAACCTGAATTAAATAGTTATTCTGACCAAAAGACATTCTGTACAGAATTTTGTTTTCGGAAATTTCATCCTTTTGATGTAATTTTATTCTCACTTGAAAATCTATCGGATTCAAAAACATGGATTTACATTCCTAATTGGATGATTTTATTTGTGCGCAATGTATGGTCTAGATATTATGTTTTCATTAGAATAGCGTACCTATTAAGATGTCTTGATATACGAAAATAGAGTAAAACTATTTTTTCCACATACTGATGTTCATCTTCAACTAAGCTATCAAGAAAATGCTAACTGTAGCATTATTTTTCATCTACAGAAAAAGAAAATCTCAGCTAATATAAAATTTTGAATCTAATTGACGAATGTGTAAAACGGCTCAACACGATAATAATTTAGTATTAATAAAAAAGACTGCTAAAATTTTTGTTACAATCCCACAAAGTTTGCACTGAAATGTTTTTTTTTATTATAAGATTATTTATCATTCACTCGATATAAACCATCCATTGCAGCTGAAAAACAAACCCTGTCGCGCCTCGATGGTATTCAGAAAAAAAAACTTTCAAATTTCACTACTTTGATTATACTGAACTAGAACTGTGTTGGTACTAATCTATAAAATTGATCAAGTCTCAAACTGTTACATTTGTCGACGCTGAAATACCGTGTAGATTCATATAGTTTTACAATGTTCTTCTCCAAAAAAAACAGCCACCACTGTCACAGTGACATCACAATAGACATCTCTATCTTCTACTTAAGAGAGAAGTTCACCAACTATTCAATTACTTCTGAATCGAGAGAGTATGTATTATGTAGACCCAAGTCAGTTATAAATATCCTTAAAAGAGTTCGTGTCCTTAGTTTATTACTATGGAGGTACTGTACTTTTACGATATTATTTAACTAAATGCCACTGTCCTTCTTAGACACACTAGCAAACTATTTTTCGATTTTTGACTTGAAACTTTAAACACAGACAGACCTTAACGAGAGTAGTGTATTCTGAAAGTTTTTGATCTTTTGATTTGCTTTTATCTTGAAATAAGAACATCAAATCTGATGGCTTATATGAATGAAGTAAAAGATACGCTATTACCATAGTTGTATTTTACGATAGGAACAGCAGCAAGGCCTAAAACATTTACGAAACATGATTCCCATTACGACCTACGCCTATGCAAAGTTTCAAGTCGAAATTCAAAAATCGTTTTTTCTGATGTTTCTGATGGAGATGACGACATTCATATAAAAGAATGCCGTAAAAGTACAAATATCTCGACAACAATAACCTAAGTACACGAACTCTTCAGAGCATTCATATCTCATTTAGATCTAAATAATGCACATAGTCTTGACTCAAAGACAATTGAATAGTTGGAGGACTTTCCTCATTAACAATGTCCGATATGACCAAGTTAGAGACATGTGACAGAACCTCAAATATCCCGCAAGATTCAAGATCAAGAATATTTTTTGAAATAATTCTAAGCTTTCAATGAAATAAACTTCAATAATTCATTAAGAGTTTCATGTGTTTTTTTTTGCAGACAAATCCCGAAAAAGAAGAAGAAAAAAAACAAAAGCCATGCATGTATATTACGAACGACTAGTAGTCAAATGTCTTTGTATAGACAGTTAAATATTTATTCATCGTTCTCATTGATAGTATATGATTGATTATTTTCTTTTTTAATATTTGATATTGATGACCATGATGTATCATTAGTTGACGTAGGACATGGATGATGATTATGACCATGATTTGTTGCACTAGCTTCAAGTTTAACATGTGGATCATTAAGTGATTTAAAATTATTTTCTTTTTTCCATTTCATTCGACTAATGGAAAACAAAACAAAACAAAGAAAAATGAAAAAAAGAGAAAATCTTGATTTATTTTTACCGATTTTGAAACCAAATCTAAACAACAACAAAAACAAATAGATTAGTACAAAATATCAAAAAAATCTCATTACTTTAATTTGTCGTTCAGTTAATGCAAGACTATAAGCAATTTCAACTCTTCGTCGACGTGTTAAATATCTATTATTATTGTTTATTAATATAAAATTCAAAGACAAGAAAAATGAAATATTCTTTTTCTTACTTCGTATAATGAAATTCTTTTTCCAATTCCAATGTTTGATGACGTGTATAAGTTTGTCGAGTACGTTTATGCTCAAAATTAATTTCTATATAAAGAAAAGAAAATGACTTATGAGGGAACGTTTTCAACTGATCAATCGCTTTTGAATTCGGGCTCAGCGCATATAGGGTAGAGTCCAATGAGATATGAAGTGTCTCACAAGGTTATTTGCTCTTGAGTCTTCTGTCCAGATTTATATGCAGTTTACTAGAATGTTAGCCTCAGGCATGGTAAATACCAACAACATGAATGGCAATAGCTCGACCTAAAATTTTTCCTACAGATATGTCTCATTATCAGTAAAAAGTCCTAAAACTTTCAGTTTAAAAAAATAGTTCCTTCTCGAAATATTAAAGTCCCCAAAAAGAAAAAAAAACATTCTAGCATCTTTCGTGAAATATGAATGATTTTGAGAACTTTAATATCTCGAAAAAGAAATATTCTTTTGAAATAAAATTTTTAGTGCTTTCTGCTAAGAAATAGATCTGTCTATGGAGAACATCTCAGATCGAACTACCATCATTCGAGTTGTTGGTATTTACCATGCTTGAGGATCCAATTCTAGTCTAATGCTGATAAACTCTGGATAGAAGATCTGAGAGCACTTATCCTTTTGAGATGTTTCGTATCTCACTGAACTCTAATGCAATGAGTTCCAATCCAAAAGCGATTGATCTGTTGAAAACGTTTCCTTGTTAGTGTAATTATCATAAACAAACAATATCATCATGATACAAATGTTAATCATTTCTATGTGTTACATTTATGTCAAAATTTTCCATACGTTGTCAATAAATCATTTTTTTCTTTTTCTCTTAATGAACTTCTATTAATACCTGGCCTCATCCATGAATGTGCATAATAAAGCATTGGATTTGTAACCGACATAGGAAATGTTGATGATGATGGTCTCATATTATTAACTGCTGATGATATTGGTTCAGTTTGTTTCCATGATGATGCACCACAATTTGATGTTGATAAAAAATAATCATTTGTTGATGGATGTTGTTCAAAATGATATTGTTGTTGATGTGATGTATCTGTTTGTATCATGTTTAAATTAGAATAAGTATTCATACGTGTTGGATCTTTACTTATTAAACGAAAATTTCCACGATTATAATCTGTTTCATATATTGATTGATTATTGTTATTATTATTCATTGTTGATGATAAACTGAAATAAGTATTCATTGTTGTTGTTATTGTTGTTGTTGTTCTTTTATAATGAAGAAAATTAAATGATATAGCTCATAAAAAAATTCACATACATAAAGTTTGAATCAATAAAAATAACTTCAAATAGCTATATTAATAAAAAAGATAGACATGTTTAGATGACAATTGAAATGATTCTTAGTGCTTTTAGAAGAAAATAATATTTCTTTGTTAGTTTCTCTCTCTTTTCGGTTGTATTATCGTGAGTGAATATTTTCCAACCATTCGTAATTCGAGAAAAGAAATTTTTCTGTTCAACCAATCAGTATCTTTCTTGTGTTTGGTAGACATTTTGTATACTCTCTCGCTTCTTTTTTTTCCCCAAAGAACGATTACTCATCTTATCATTACTCATTGAAGGTCTACATGTAGTAGATAGAGAATATGTACACTGTCCTATCATCGATAGGTACGTGCCGATAAACAACTACCTTTGAAAAGAAAAAGGTATTGATTGAAAGACTTACTTTTACTCTACATATTCAGATTTTTGAAGTATTCTTTGACATTAAATGATGACAATTAAGTTACTTGATCTAATCGTCGGTCACTTGGCTTTTTGAATAGAAAAAAAGAAGAAGAAAACTCGATGTTTTTCTCTCTCACATTGATATATGTAATAAGATCAAATATTTTGTACATAATAAATAAAATAAAGAAAACTTTCAAGTTGTTACATTTTGACACTTATATTTGTTCTATTGAACCATAAATACTAAAAATGCACGTCGCTTGATCATTAACAAAGTGTTCTATTTAATGAGAATTTGATGACATCGATGGAACCGACAATGGTTTAGTTTGATCATGTTGTCATTGACGTTTTCTTTTTTCTTCGAACTGTATTACTTACTGAATTTGTTTTGCTCGATGAAGTGTATAGACCATTGCAAATGATATAATTTTGTTAATGAAGACATGAATATGTAACTGTTGAACACAAGTATCCCAAGGTCACCAAGATTGGGAAGAGAACAATCGATCGTTGGAAATAAAATTGGAGGCAATCACAAATCTGTTTTAGAAAAAAACAGGTTAAATAACACGATATTTGTTTCGTTTAATTATTTGTTGATGACAGTAATTTGACTAATATTACGAAGAGGATCTAATGATGTGTGTTGTTACGTTAATCGATATATTTTACACATAATGGGATTTGTATGATTATCATACAACTCAACTGTAGAAACTTCTCTGTGCATACTACCTGAATGCAACCGAAAAATTCTATGTTATGATATCACTGATCGTTGAGAGCAGTATATAGACAAAATTTGTAGTGTGTATGTATATGTACAATAAAAAAAAACATTGAGAGAAAATAAAGGGAGCGAAATAGCCTCCATAAAAATAAAAATATCATGTTATTAAACAATATTAGTGCACTATTATAGTGTTTCACTAATAGATTCATGTTTAAATAGGAACTTTTACAAATAGCTATTTATTTGTAAGAATAAAGTATCATTGTTTGTCAATGTTTATATGATTTAAAAAAAGTTTTTTTTTATGAGTCTTTCATCTGTTTCTTATTCTTTGCTGTTATTCTTTTAGCATTATATTTTTTTATAGTTTTTTTCACACATGTGCACAATCGCTTGGTCCCTACAATATGCCCTCATTGTCGGTCAAATGCAGAGGATTCGACACTTTTCAACTGCTGTTGCCGTTCAATGGCCCTATTAAACTTTTCCATTCATGTCCGTTTGATCAATCAGATGATAGTAGTCCATTTATTCATTTTTCTCCACAGGGAAGTGCTTGTCCATTATTGGCAATATATATATATATATTTTTTTTTTTTTTGATGGAATATATGAACAGTCAACGAATCAAAGCTATCTGATTGTTTTATTTCTTCTATCTATCGGAATGTATTACGTGTGCAAGATAAAAACCAATTTTATTCTTTTGGAAAATTATTGGAACATCATCAAGATAATAATTCGGTTTCGAAGGGATTGTCATACGAGTAACAAATTAAACCAGACTTTTTTTTTTTGTATTATAAATCTTGTTTGTTTGTTAACGATGGTTGTTTTCGTGATGATTTCTAATTACTCTTAGTTCGTGTGGATGTGTGTATGATGGTCATAAAACAAGATGAACCTATTGTATATAAATACAGACAAAAAGGCTAATAAATTCGACAAATGTGTATGAGGTGTGACATATAATTCGTTCTCTTGGGATACGCATCGTTTGTCGTGGGATGAGAAGCAGAAAAAAAAATATGTGTATCAAAAGAGAAGAAAAGCTTCCGTTTAATGAGCCTCATTTGAACATTAGATGATGTTTTAACGACAAAACAGTTACTTCATATATGAAAAGAACGTATTGTAACTATACTTGTTGTTGACCGAAATGTAAGAGTAAAATATTGATTGGTTAAAAATGTATGTCAGTTTTATTTTTTTTTTTTTTTTGCTTTAAAAGAATATATAATATCAATTTTTGAGATGGCTGAGATACAAAATAAGAATATGGTGAATGTATCAAAGTAAATTTCAATATTCTTAATACTAGAGATAATCCCATAACAGTCCATTAAAATAATTTAATAAATAGATATAAGGTCAAAATGTCATTCTTGGAATATGCAGTACTAGTCTAAGATATAAGGCTAGTGTATTTTTTATTTTTATTTTTTCTACACAGCACTAGAGCTCGTCGTGTTGGTCCTGAACTTGAATTCCATTGTGTTTGGGTCCAAAAATATTGGACTTGATGGACTCTAGTCGTTGAATACAAAAAACCGCAAAAGAATATCTCGTGTCTTCAGAATGACTATTCAATATCTATTAAAAATTTTTATTGAAAGCATCAAAGTACCGTTCAAGTGGATCCAGGTCCGAAACGTTTTGGGCCCGACGGACTCTGTGTACGATATCAAGTATTTAACTTCAATCAAAAAAGTGATTTGAATAGAGAACTTCATTATCTATTTAAATCATTATTTGGATGACAGCTAAATGCTTGTTTTCGTAGAAAAAAAATTAAACATGCGTTGATCTTATATTTTTGAGTAGTACTATTGTTTGTAATAATAGAATGGTTGAAAAGAGATTTCTAATTGATGAGATTTGTTTCTTTAAGAATCCTTTATTCTTTTGTTGAGAAGTTTCCTTCAAATGTGAAAAATATTTCCAAAGTAGCTTGTTTTTAGTCGTTCATTTCACAAATTTCACAAATTTAATTTGAACATTGATTGTAATTAGATATTCATAATCATAAATCTTGTTTTTAACTTCAATTTGAAGTAGACTCAGTGAAAAAAAATTATTTAACTTGTCATTTAGAATTATTTGTATTAAATTTTCTGAATCTTTAATAGATTTTGAAAATTATTAATATTTTGAATATATTCTTTAGAATGATATCAAAATCAAATAATGATATTTGTCCAAAACAAGAAACAAGAGATTTCTTTATTGACAGAGAAATCTAAGTTTCAATTGTCTGTTTTACACAAAAAAAAAAAAACAAATAACTTCAAGTTGATACTGATGTAGCAACCAAAGCAATATTTTCGAGTGTAACATTTTTTGATACATATACTTTAAGATGAGCATTAAATCCATTTTCATTCAAATATTCAATTCGACCCCAATCTAAAATCCTTTTTGCTTTTAGACCAATCTTTTCTTGTTGTTCAATAGAAAATAAACGTTGTTTGGAATAAGTCGATCGATCTGTAGATGTTTTCGAAGTAGACCGAAGTGAAACACCATCTAAATGAAAATAAAAACAAAATACATAGGAGTTGTATCATTAGAATTGAGAATAAATGATCTCGAAAAGATATACATGAGAGAATAAAATGTACGCTTATACTACAAAAACTAATAAAAATATAATAAGGTTGTGGGTGGAACAATGATCCACACCCACTGCCTTACTACGAAATACCTTCATTTAAATTTCCTAGCTACTTAAATTTTTATTGAGTTCCAGAGTACAAGTTATTCGTGCGCAACTTTCGCGACCTATATATAATATTAACCTTATTAATAGATACCACAAACAATGAGACAACCTATATGTATATTATCATTGTTCTGAATTAAAAATTCAAAAACTATAGACTTGACTCGAGTGATGAGATAAAAATTAGAAATCAATCAGAAGATTTGACAAAACTTTTTTTTACACCAAATCAAGTTGGAAATATTGATACAAACCCATCGAGCTGAAATTTGTTTTTTTTTGTTGGAGATACTTGGGACAAAAGTCTCAGAAATGTTTTCTAGAAGGTTAAAAATATCTCTGAGATTTTATCATGCGTATCTTCGGAAACAATTTCAGTCCAATTGAAGAAAGTAAGAGAGGGGCTACAAGCAGATCCGGTGATTATTAAAGATTTCTTCAAAAATCACTGAAGACTTGCTTTATAAAATTTTTTCTCGAACATCGGTCCTACCATTTTCAATAATCTATAGATGGTAAAAATTTGAACCTGACTAATTGTACTCTCGTGGACAACTAGAAATAGTCCGAAAGAGGAGAATACCATTAAGCAGTCAGTAATGACCTCGCCAAAAATGATATCAAATTTTATTCCCATGATCTGTTTTAATTGTATGTACCGTTGCATTGTTGATGAGAGATGGTACTTTGAAAAAACAATATTAGAACCAATCTTTGAGTATTTCTTTAAAGGACTGGGGAAAAAGCTTTTTTTAGCGCCTCTTGTAATTATTAAGACAAACTAGTGGCGGAGCCAGGATTTTTTGAGGTGGTGGATCTCAGCTTTAAAGCATGGGTCCCAGTTGAAACATATGGGGGATAATATTGGCTTCAAATGATGAGTTTCTATCAACTGATTTTTGC